TAAATTGCAAAGTTACCATATAATCAAACAGTTACTGGTTCAGTTAACCAGGTTACATACTCAGTGATTAAGTGAGATAATCATTGAATTAATTAATGAGTTAATCTTGAATTGGTACCATGTGAATGGATAATAATTACAATTAGAAACAAGGTAACCACAGTTGATTAAAATCTCAGGTAAAATTCATATCAAAACAATAGTGAGAGAGAGAGAGATAAACAATTACATAATCATGAAAACCTCGAGATGAAGATGCTGATGATAAAAGTGATAATTGCGGAAGCAAATGATTCTCATCCTAATCTTCATCTTCATCTTCATCCTCTCATCATCATCATTTAATCACAAGATAAACTCACAATATTAAACCTTAATCCTGATCCTCTCGTACCAACCAGATCCATAGTTAATTTGTTAATTTAAACATTAGACTTGAAACAAGAACAACAATTAACCAACACAAACTCACAAATCCTGAGCAATTAATGAACGTAAACAACACTACGATTTTACCGTTATGATTACGTGCTGGTTATATAATAATAACAGTTAACTAATTATTCACACCCCGAATATGATGTTTATATTACAATTATGATTGTTTTAATTTCTTGAAACAAGGTCTTCAACTTAGATCCAGTTTCGAGTTAATTTATGTATTTATATTCAACTGACCATTACCTTAGTACAATTTACCTTTAATTTGCTTTCCGTTAATCATTTTACCTCTTCCTTCATCTTAATCATCATCATTAACAATTTGTTGATGAAGATAATTAAATTGCGCCATTTTTACCTTAACCAGGTCAATCAGGATGATTGGTCACTTGTAATTTGAACAATTTAATATCCATTAAATTGTTACGAAGATTATTTTTCTCGCCACTTCTTCCTATTGTTATTGTTGAGCTTAATTATTGTCACAATGATTATAATTAAAGTCAGCATTTTGAACAATTAAAAAAAAATTCATTGATTCCGTTGATTCACATCAACGGGATATCCAACAATTAACCGTTAATAATAATAATATTGATTGTACCTTTTGCCACCTTATAGCAATTAAATCATCATAAACCATAATCAAGCTAACAAAAAAGTGAAAATAATTGTTTGTTGATTAACTTTTTCACAATTCATATTAATCATACAACAATCAGTTGATTGTTGTGTTATATTATTAGTTATTGGCCTTAATCAAAAGTTCATGCTTAGGTTTTGATAAGTTTTGTTTTCATTGAAACTATTGTTAGATTTGTTGATTGTTACATTAATTTTTACGAGTAGTACGATATATAATTAGTTGATTGTTGACCAAGACTAAATATAATGATTAACTTAATAGAATCACCTAAATTTAAAATATCCTCAATATACTTTAAATTGCTACAATTTAAAAAGATTTACAATATAATCCTTAACAATTGGATAGAGGGTGAAGGAGAGACTTAAATTATATTTAAGATAATTAAACTAATCAAAGTTAAATTGTTTGATTATGAGACCACCATCAAATTGTAACAGTTAAAACTTTCATCTTCTCAATTTTAATTATCATCGCCATCATGATAGGAATCATATTTATAATCAAGTTAATCATGATAATAATGATTTGGTGATGATTACGAAAATACAACATTGTGATTAGCTAATTGTAAAGATTATGTTTTCTGATTGTAAAGTTAATTACACTTTCTTTAATCACTCTGAATAACAAGACACATACAAACAACAATAAAATAATAAAGTTTAATAATTTAAAAAATTAATAACAATTTAAAGAGAGAGAGAGAGTTGGAAAGTTAATTGAGTTTTAATATAATAATTAAATAGGAAGACGATTATGAAAACTTTTTCTTAATGTTTAATTGTCTTGATTAACAGTTACGAGGATTTGATGGTGAACAAGTAAATCTAATCACAATTTAATCGAGATAATTATGAAAGAGAATAAGAAAAACAAGTGATCAACTTAATTATCTTCTTAATCATCATGAAAATCATCGTTTTATTACATTAGAACTTTTTTTTCGTGGTCTACATTTGATGATGAGTTCGAGTTGCTGGTTGAGTCCAAGCCAAGAAAAAACAATCAACAGGATTCAAGTGAATCTAATGGACAATAGGAATCATTATCATGTTGTGTAAGGATGAAACTGACCACAACCACCACCCCCATTATCATGATAATCATCATGATGATGATTGTCTTTCCCTTTCCAAAAGTTAATTGTAATTAAACCGAATCACTGAGTTAACGATGAAAGTGAAAGATGAACTTTTTTCATTCGTTTCCTTATGGTTAGTTGATTGTTGCTATTAACTGTTAATTGTGAGACTCAGTTGAAAGTTAATTGGCTGAAAATGATAATCTATTTTTGGATAAAAGTGACAATTTAAATCCAATTTTATTACATTGGCCACCGGAGATGATTGTGATTAAATCTGCAATTTAATGATTAACATGTTGTCAATTTAATTGTTATACTGATGTTGATTATTTGCAACTTTTTTTTGGTAACAATTAGCTAACAATTTAAAGATATTAATTCATATCTCAAGTTTAATTATGATCAGTTGATTAAGAGGCTTAAATTTTTGTTCAACGAGACAATCAAATTTATTTTTATACTTAACGATTTACTTTCAATTGTTATGATTATGATCATGATTAGTGAATATAATCAGTGATTAATTTAATTTGTTCATTGTTAGATTTACTCGTTAATCCATCGTTAACAAAATGACAATTAAATTAATCGGTTTTCTTGTTATATTGTTAATTAAAAAGTCATCAAAAGTTGGTTGTTGATCATAACAATTAGAAGCTTTTAATCAATTTCTATTTAGTGATGATAATTAAATTCGTGGTGAGAGTTTCAACAATTTAACCACAATTAAAATGCTAATCCATAAGCAAACTAACTGTTGACAATCAAATCACAATTAAATATTAATTTTAAAATAATAACTTGAATGCTAATCATTTACTTGAATGTTACTCCCAAAGTATTAATCATAACAATCAGTTGATTCAGTAACTGTTGTTTCAGACACAATCAAGTTTATTGTTGGAAAAACTTTTTTGATTAATGATTAACCATCGAAACAATTAATGTAATCACAATCAGATTCATCATAATCACACAAGATTTGGCCTTTACCATGAAATGATTACGATTTAAATTGTAATTAAGGGAATTAAAATCCAACCAATTTAAACTTGAAACAACACCAACAATTTTAATCACCATTGATTAACTTTCTCGTCGGCGTTAAATTTAATAATTACAGGTAGCCAAGGATCTGAAAGTGATTCTTAATTGTTGACAATCAAGTTAACAGTAAAAAAAATAATAATAATCAACCCTTACAATTAAACATTCAACTTTTGATTCCCATGTTAATAGTAAGGAAATTTTTTCGCAACAATTTAAATTGTTGGTCTATTAATGATTCTAATGATTTAAATAATCACCTAAGGGCTTAACCTACGGGTTAAATTGTTATCGATAAACATTGAAAATCAACTAATGATAGTAATTTAGCTAATTGTTGTTTGATTGTTGTTTCCTCATCTTTTGATTACAATTTCAATTTCTCAACAATCATTATGATCATTAGGATTTTGAAAACTTCTCAATAGTTTTAATTAATCATAAACTGATTTATCAATAAAACTTATTGTCAGAGTAACAATTTACCAGATTAAAGTGAATTCTTAACAATTTAAATCATGATTTGTAGATTCTCATGATTATCATGATTCGTTGAAGTTAATTTTTTCCCTCTAATTGTTGTATTAATAATCATGTTCATCAACTGTTTCCATCGTAACAATTTATCATAAATTGTAATCTAATACACACAATTACTCAAATCATCAGTTAATTGTTGCCCATTTTCCTGTTAATCTTTACCATTCACATAATTTTACCCACGGAAAAAAAAGTAAACAAACTTTTCCAACAATTAATTGATTGTTGATCAACAAGATCTCAATTCATATTACACTCGGAGCTTAATTAATCAACAGGTTTACAACAAGTAATTAACGGCAAGATGATTTAATATTATTACCATTTGGACATAATTTAATCACTGGAGATACTGATCAACATGATCATCAATCTTTATCATGTTTATCCTCTTGATTATTACACATTTCATCCCAGAATCAAGGCTGATTGTTGATTGTAATTGTATCCGCACCGGGAGATAAATTTACAATTAAAGTAACATCAAAAATAACCGAACCTTATTTTTGATTTACCGAAATGTATTAATGATTAACTATTACAATCTGAACAGGTCAACACTCACCAAGGGAAAGGTCAACAATCAACGATATCCAATTGACCTGATTAACCTTATTGATTGTGTCAAGGTCTTTGTAATAGTTAACATGTTAATCAGTAACAATCAAGGGAATCATCAAATATGATAATCCGAGTCACGGATAAGATTAAATCATGATTAATATTGTTATCACTTTTTTCATATATTATTTGATTGTTGACATTAATGTAAAAATAGGAAGTAAACAATTTAATCATCATACTCTCCCATTGAGATAGTTAATTGTAAATAAAATTTGAGATTCCCAATTGATAAAAGTAATAGAAATTAATTGTTACCAAGAAAATCATAATAATTATCATCATCATTACATATATAAATAATAATAAATTATATTGTAATCAAATTGAGGGCATGAGGTAAATCAACTAACAGTTGATAGTTAAATAAATTGTTGATCACCTTGGCATGGATGCTTGACTCTAATAGTGATTAAGTTAATTTTTTGATGATGAAAATAAAAAAAAAACGGAACAATCATCAATTCGTTGGAATCAATGTCCTTCGTTGCAACGATCTAGGCGAGTTCGTAGTAAAACAATTGATTATTATTACTTTCTCTCTCTCTCTCTCTCTCTCTCTCTCTCTCTCTCTCTCTCACTCTCACTCTTTCTACGAACCGGTTTCATTTATATGGACAAAATCGTTAGCACGAAATAAGGTATTGAATGAATGTTAATTAATTACGATAAATAGTAATCATGATGATGTTATTTTAAGGTGGTGGATCAGTTTTACTTCCCAAGGTATAACCTTGTGGATACACCTTCTTATGTCTCTCTCACCTTTTCATTATCCTCATCATCTTCATCTTCATCTTCATCTTCTCCATCCTCATCTTCTTGTTTCTTGTTTTTTCGTTACAACGATTTCTTAGCACCTTCGATTTTAATCCTTCGTTCTAATGGCGTTGGTGTGTTGTATCCGAATTCCAATCAATGTCTTTTTACCTTCTTAACTTATCTTCTTTTCTCTCTCTCTCTCTCTCTCTCTCTCACTCATCATCCTTATCTTCAGCTTCTTCTTTAGCTCTTCTAAGCCTCACACTAATCATCATCAGTAATCCTTCAGAATGGATCAAGTTAATCACAATTTATGGTTAATCATTTCGTTGTGAATGTTAATCATGGTTGGTCTTACTCTTTATTCAATATATTATTTCATCTCATCAATTTTAATTGTTACCTTTCTAATTATTTTCCTTCAATTGTTACACCAATCATTTCAATCTGATTAACAGCAATCACTCAATTCAACAATTTAATCATTTATATAAAAGTTTAATTTTTATCATTAAAAATCATTTTTTTTATAATCAACGTTTAGTTCATTGTTTTTAATTGTTGTTTACGTTTCTTTTTTAATTGTTATACAGATTATCGAGTTAATTTAATTTATCACCTTTAACCAAACCCATTGATTGTGTGGATTAAAGTGATTAACCCTCTTGGTCAATATAAAATTTAATCATTTGACCAACTGACCAATCAGTAAATCAACAATTACAATCGGATTTACCAGTAATTTAACATCAAATGTATTTTTTTGGACTACGATTAACTAATTACTCTGTTAATCATATGGATAAATGTAAATCAAGATGGTAAGATATTCACTTTGTTTGTTAATCATAACAATTAACTGTTAATCATTGAGGAAATAGAAACAATTATTCAATTAAATCAAATCTATCGATCACCATAATTATGCTAATTTGATGATGATTTAATCAATAATTAACCATTTACTTTTTCCTGGTAAATTTGGTTTCTCATTAATGATCAAAGAGTAATTAGAAATTAGGATTTATTTTAATTGTAATTAAGATTATGTTAATCATCAACAATCATTATGATTTACACAAATAACAGGTCATTGAAAATGAAACTTGATGATTTGTGTTTTTTATCCTGCAACAATTAACCATTAAATCATGATTAAAACCATCTAACAATCAACTTAATCATGAAACCGGTTGAATAATAAACATCAACAATCAATGTAACTTGATTATCAACCATAATTGTCATATTATTTATCATTACTGAAGATGAAAAATCCCTTAAATTGTCACAATCAACTAACTATATTTATATGATAGTTAGTTAACTAATCATTATCAACGTTTTAATTGCAAACTTTTGATTTTCAATTAAATTTTCATCGTGAGAAAGTTAAACGAGTTTTTTTTACCTGAAAAAAAAAGTTTGATAACTAATCAGGAAAAGTTTAAAAGTAACAATTAGTTTTAATTGTTAACCATTCATTCATCCATCCAATCATTGACAATTAGCCTGAGACAATCACAATTGTTGCCATTGATTAGTAGCAACGATCCAGTTGATTAACAGTTAAAATGATCATCATTTTAATATAACGGAAATAGTTAGTTAGTTAACAAATTTTGCTTCTAAAATCGCAATTAACTTAATTAACATTCAGAAAAATGTTTCTTAATCATCAATTAACCTTTCAAAATTTTCACATTGATCAATTTCATTGATTAACTTAATCATCACATGGATCTGATTTCAGGAAATGATTTTGTTTTCACAAATTTGAAAATCAAAGTTAATTAACTTCATTTTCGTGATTAAAGTTAATCTTTACCTCTTGACAATTGATTAATTGTCAATCTTGAGAAATCAATTGTCAACAATTAACGTTTAATTTTTCACAATCATGTCACAAAAATAATTTTAATTCAAATGCCAACAATTTAACAAACTAATCAAAATATTAAACTCAATCAACTAAATTGTTAAAAAAACTTTCAATTATAAGTAAATATTTTGATTAACCAATATCAATGATTAAAGTTGATTAATTTTTATTGAATAAACCACAAAATCAGGGTCACAATTAAGAGTTAATCAAATAATTGTTTTAACAGTTAATTGTTTGAACAATTATACAATCTCACCGATGATTTTTTCACCATTTTATTTGATTAGTTAATCCAGGTTGTTGATTAAATGATGATCATCATTGGGATTAAACATTTGTAAATAGTAAACACTCACACAATTAAAAATTGATTAACGTAAACAGCAATCAACTGATTGACAAAAAAATTAACCTTCAACTAAATCAATCCAATCCTTAATCAGTGTAGGTTTTGCCAACAATTAAGCGTAGGTGATAACGACCTTTATCATTATTAATATGATTTATTTACCTTGCAGGTTCACCTTATATGTATTCAAGGTTTTATTTGTAACAATTTAATTTAATTCAATTCCGATTTAACAACAATCCACTTAAACACACACATAAACACTCACACAATCAGTTAATCAACGTTTATGTCGTCAACAATTTAGCCTCATTGATACAAATATAAATTAACCTTTAAATTCCCGTGGTTGTTGTTAGTTAGTTTTAATTGTTGGCCTTAGTTGATTAATTATGTCTAATTGTGTTGATTTAGTATCTCTTGTTTGTCTAGATTTTTATACTGATCCAGTTTCCTTGGGAAACAATTAATTTTAACAATTAACTTCATCTCATCTTTTTCTTCCGGTTAATTAACACAATTTCATCATATCATCATGATTTAATATTAAATTGTTACTCAATGTTAATCAGTTGTGTCTTTTTAATTCATTTAACTGATATAACTGGTTTTCCAAACAATTAACAATTCTGTTCTATCAAATCAGTTAATCACTTGGGCAATTGTTTCATCATATTGTTTATTAATTGTTACTATTATCATAACCATCATCATCAACAATTCAATTTATTATCATAAACAATTTCATTTTTCAATTAATTCACAACAATCTAATTGAATTGTAATAATTTATTTAACTGTCAAGATTTTTATCAATCAATTGATTGGGAGGTAAATTAAATTGTTGCTTGTTAGATACTCGATCAATATGAAATCTTTTATTGTAACAATCAAGCAAACAATTAAATTAATAAGGTCAATTCAACTGTGTATGTTTCATGTTGATTTGATTACAATTCAAACACCAATCCTTAAATTGTAATAATATTAAATTGGTAGCAGCAACAATCAGTAGTGTTATAAATCAATCAAACAATCAGACAATTAATTATAATTGTTACATCATAATTTAGTTATGGAAAAAAAAACTTAACTAATCCCTTTCAATTATAACTAATTACCCTGACAATTTGTTGATTGTGATCAATGCTAATAATTATTTACAGTTAGATAACTTTTCCCATTGAGACTTTGATTAGTTCATCATGTTGATTAACTTGATTGTCTTGATTGTCTTGGTGTAAAGATGACTCTCTGATTGGGTGTGAAAAATGTTAATCATCATGATTAACATGATGATCAGTTAATTATTTCCGCCTCAATCATATTTAGTAATATAAGTTTTTCTCAATGAAATTGCCGAAAACAAAATTCAATGTCTTGATTGCTGTCGTTAATAGTAACCGATTATGACGATTAATTTTAATTGTTTGTGCGTGGGGACAATTTATTAAATATAATCAAGTTAACTTTCAAGGTCAATTAACGTTAAAACAAAACCACAATTTAAGTTTATCATTAACAATCAAGGCTCAAGATGTGAGCAAATTTTTAGTTAGTTAATCATCTTAAACCATTCAATGATTAATTTAATATTGTTACAACTGTTTTACAATTACAATTAACTTGATTTACTAAATCGCTTTACAAACCATGAGTTTTAATCATGTTAATCGTTTAAGCTTCTGATGGTTTTTTGTGGCGTTTCAACAATTTAATTATGATATTATTATTACTTCAATGGGATTAACTTGTTACCTTAATTAACAGTTTAATTGTGATTGGAACCAAATTGTTTACCATTAAAGTTAATTTTCGTCTCGATTTCTTAATCACAGAGAATCATAATGAAGGTCCTTCTACAATTAGGATTGATTCTGTCCTTTGGAATTGGGGATATTCTGGTAAGTTAATTGGTTGGAATCAAATTTCCAACTTGGAATTATATTTGATTGTTTAATTGTTTTCTTTTTTAACTTCGAACAGAATCAAATCAGCCAACAACATGTTCAAAGTCAAGTTCCAATTCCTATTGATGGTTCCGGCGAAGCGGTTCCAATACCGATTCAAACTTCGCACGAAGATGTGATTTCACTTCCGCTTCGAGCTCCACCGCCACTGTTACCATCTTTTCCAACGGAAACCATTTCGATCCAAAGTTCGGGAGGTTCGGTTGTATTGACGGACGATGATCTCGAAAGATTGGAAAAAGAAAGGACTCGAAATGTTGTCCGATTAGCGGCAACTGATCAACTAAATTCAGAGATAATTACAAATCGAACTCGAGGTAAGTTGATTTACCAATAGATGAAAATTTCCAATCATTAATTGTAATCAACTTTTCTTATTCAATTCGCAAACAATTAGCTTACCTTTCTTGTGAATCTGGTGAAATGGTTGTCAAGATCAACTTCAGTGTCCCATTTAGAGGAGTCGCTTATGCCAATTACGATCGTTCATCTAACTGTAAATTCTATGGCGACGGAAGCCAATATTACGAGATGAAAATACCTCTTAAAGGCTGTGGAACCAAACAGGTAAACAATTAGTTAATTGTGATTGTTGTGTATCTTCAAGAGAGCTTAATTTGTATACTAAACCCTTTTCATTGATTGTTTTCAGGAAGCGCCTCGATTGTTCATCAATAACATAATCTTCCGATTCCATCGGTCACTAGAACTCGAAGAGGACGAGATCAAAACGATTATTTGTCGATACCCACCACCATTAGCACCACCACCCGCTGATCCATTACCACCAATGTAAGTTCAACAATCGAGATGATTTACTTATTAACGGAAAAGTCAAATAATAATCGTGATTTGTGTTCTTGTCTTACTATTACAGAGTCGAACCTGTTGCTCCAGTTCCGCTATTGGTTCCTAATAGATTGTCCGAAATCGAGCTTATCTTAATCATCTGTGCTCTTCTGTTTTTAACTCTTCTTCTTCTTGGTATCGGGTGTGGTTACTATTGTTTGAAACGTCGAAATATTAAGATCGTTCGAAAGAAGCGACACTTTACTCCCGCTCCATCAGAGATAACCAAAGTCTCTTCGATCATCGATACCATTCGGATACCTCGAGTCACCGCTCCACCAACAGAATCTAGTGAAACCGATTATCCCTCTGAATCACCTTCAGATGATGACGGAAGACGAACCATTGTCTCAGAAACATCGACTCTCCGTCAAGATCGTTATCGATTTGAAAATGCTGCCTTTCTTCCCGAACCTTATCCTCTTGATATCGAGCGAGGTGATTCAATCTCTTCATTCCCAGTTGCAGCTATTCATCGACCTGAGATTACCAAACGTGACATAATGACCACAATTGTCACAACGGAAAATTTAACCGACGAAGACGAATACACGACTCGATATCGAGCCGCTCATAGTAGATTGTATCAAAAACAACCGACCTACTCCGATGCTCCTTCACTTCGAGGAAGTATTCCAGATGATGACGACTGGTCTCATTCGGAGATCGTCGAGAGAACACCAACTAAAGCCTATGTTGCCCCACCGGTGTTGACAACGGAAAATCTTGATGACACTTATGTGGACAGAAGGGGTGATCGAGAAGTAATCGAAGAAAATTCGATAAATCAACTATCTGTTATTCCCGCTCCCAAGATTCTGGTTAAAAATATCGATGATCTTTATGTGACCAATATCGAGGAAACAGTGACCACTGAAAGTATCTTCAAGGAATCGGGTAATCGGACAGTCGATAAACCCAAAGCACTAACAACCACAACAACTACCGCAACATCAGAATCATTATCTGGTCGAGTTCAAGATAAAAGTCGAGTGACAAGTCATATTAACACTCGCCCATCAAACTATCAAGTTGAAAGAACTCGTGAACTTCTTGATGTTTATCAAGATCGTGATCGAGGTTCAAGTCAATTTGAGGAATCTGAACGTTACAAAATCTCAAATCGCTCGATAATCAAAGATGATCGAGTTGAGGGAAGTAAATTAAAGACACGATTCAGTGATCAAGACACGACGAAAACATCATCGGGAGGAACAACGAAACAATATCATGGTGATGCTCGAACGTCCAAAATGTCCGAATCGTACCAACACCAACAACAAGAACACCAAGAATCATCAACAATGATCCGATCTAAAAGTAATGTGATATTAAATATATTGGATAGTCCGCCGAAAGTTGAAGGAATTGAACAATTATCTTCTAACGATCGAACCAAATGGCGAACAACAATAGTGACCGATGAAGTTTTCCGAAGTTTAATCATCGAATCAACTACAGTCGAGGAATATGTCCGAATCTCTCGTGACATTAGGTACGAGAAATTGTTCAGTACCAACACATGGGAAACCATAATTCGTATTCTAACCCATCCAAGTGTTACCAGTTTATCGATTGGAACGGAGGATGATTTTAACGCCGAATGGTCTGAAACACTGTACAGGATAAGACCCGAGAGACGGCCTAAAGATAACACGGGTTCAACTCGATCAAGTTGGACAGTTGACTACGATTTAAGGTCAATTACCGAAGAGGATGTTAACTTTACTAGACTTCAAAAGGAATCGTCGTCTTCGTGGTCCGAGTCCACATCTCAACAACAACAGCACAAACATTTAACCACCAGTGTTGTACCACCGCCTCCACCTCCTCCTCCTCCACCACCACCGCAATCAACATCAATTGTGACAAAAACCGATGTGCCAATTAAAGGTGTAACTTCATCATCGTCATCTAATTATCAACAATCAACTCGAACCTCGGGTTCAGCGGTAACTGGATCTCGAGTTGAACAACAATCGTCAAGATCAATGATCGGCTTTTATTCAGCCTCAAATATTAGATCACAACAACAACACCAACAACAATTTAAACAACACAAACGTTAATTATAATTAGTTTTCAATTATCAATAAATTTTATTTCTCAATTGTCATCAACAATCATCTCAATCATCTCAATCATCATCATCATCATCAACTTTTCCTAATCATAACATTTTCTTCATCATTAAAGGTAATTAATTTTTGTATTGATTGATTTTTTCTTTACCTCTAACATAATTAGTTAATCATTTGATTGTTTTCTTTGATTTTTACAGGACAACAATTAACATTATTGCAATGATATCAAGCCAGGAATCAAATTTGATTTCGCACAAAAGGATTGATCATTTTTCTCATTGATTGTCATTGGACAAATTAAATTGTTACACTAACTTAATTGTCGTTATCACTTCGTGTCTTGATAATCAAACACCATCAACAATCAGCGAAGAAGAAGAAATTAAATTAAACTAACATCAAACCGATGGTCAATTAATCAATTTGATTCTCATCTTGACAGAACAATTAATCTTAACGATTAACTTATTTTTCTTTCTCTCTTGTAACAATCTATTATTATCATCGAAAGCAATCAAATTAATCCTTTAATTGCTTGTCTATTATTTAATTATTGTTAAGATTTAAAGATTAAAAAGTTAATCTACCAATTCGGAGATATAATTTTATCTATTAATCTTTAAATCTTTCTAATTGAGATTAATTGTCCTGTCAATTTGTAAATCGTGATTAATTTTAATCATCAACCCTTTCGTTTTTTTTTGTTTTATCAAAATCGCAATTAATTTTAATTATCACAACTAATTAACTACTGAAATTCAATCCAGTGCTGCCAGTGATTAAACTACAATTGAGTTTGCTCAACTCTTAATTCCTCACTAATTGTGACCAACCAAAGCTAAATTAACCAATAAATTTTTATCAAACTCTAAACGATTGACTGTTTTTCCAAATTCATTTTAAAAACTCATCAAAATCACAATTCACTTGAAAACACAACAATCGAGCAAAAAAAACACTCAAAACAAAACAATAAAATTAAAATTCCACAAATAAATCGAGTAACAATTAAGTTAATCAGAAAAAAAAATCGAAATACAAAAAAACAATTTAAAATTTTTTCTCCAATTAGTTAACAAAATCGCCACCAGATGTCACTTTTTCGAAGATGACGCAACAATGAGATCAGCTGATTCGATTGTCAAATTGTTAATTGTTGTCACTTTGATTTCCTCCAGTGAATTAGATTATGATTTCTTCTGTTGAAGATAACGAAAGAATTAAAATCTATCATCATGATAATCAATTTCTTATCTGGAAAGCGAAAGGTAAATATGAGAAAAAGAATCAATTTGTTTAACTAATCGAAACGATTTATTTGAATTGAGGATAATCCAGTTTTCTTTTGGTTTGTTTTGTTTTTTAATATTCTAATTGTTTGTTAAATTGTTTTTCTTTTTCTTTTTATCTTCTCTTTCTCTTTATTTGTAGATGCCTTAAATATAAGACAAAAGTATCGGATTGTTGGCTCTCTCATTGGACCTTATCCTAATGAGCCCTCTCAGGTTAATAGAAATGGTTTACCTCTTAGATTGTTGGAAGAGGAGACTCGTTTACTTATAGATCTTAATGTTGCTGATTTGATTAAAATGGAGGTTCAATTGACTGAAGAGATTGTTAAAGAATATAATCAACACGTTGAATTTACTCGATCGGATTATAGTAAATTAGCAACCGAGAGAAGATTAAAAGAGATAGAAAGTCACCTTTCATCTGGAAGTTCACCAAAAGGACAAAAGCGAAAGAGAAACATTGAAAGTAAAGAAAGTGATGAAGGATTATTAGAGAAAGAGACAATTGTTGTCAACCAATTTGATGATAGTAAGGAAGATCGAAAAAGTTTGATACAAACAATCAATGATCATTTATTGCCTGTACAATTATTTACAGAGTGTCCATGGCCTCGAAAAGAAGAGGTAATTAATGGTAATTGGTTGTATCCTGAAAAAGAGCGGGATAAATTGTTGTACAACATATTTAAAGACCTTTGGAAACGAGGATATTATATAACCAGTGGGTTTAAGTATGGGTGTGATTATCTTGCTTATGAATATGATCCTTTGGTATTTCATTCAAAATATATGGTCACTTGTCAATCACAATTAGATCACTTGGAGGGTTTACAGTTTTTGATTCTTAATCGAGTTAGTTCACAAGTTAACAAGAAACTTTTAATTGCTGGACTTGTGAATGATGATAAAAATGTTACCACTGGTAATCAGGATTCTATTGATGAAACTAATTGTAAACCAATCTATTTGTTGATCGACTGGCAAGGTAATCAGGATTCACCATCCAAGCGTTTCCATTTAAGACCAGATTTACCAATTTAAGTAGTTGATTTAAATTTGAGTTTTTTGTTTGTTTAGATTGACTGAATTTTGTTCATCTTCTTCGGGTCTTTGGAAATTTTTTCTTGTCAAAGACTGAGTAAAAAGTATTGTTTTTCTTGTAAAGAAAAAAAAATAATAATAATTTGGAGTAAAATTGTTTGCATGCAGATTCGCACTTGTCATGCAATTAAATATCACAATTGCTTTTGATTTTTTTTTCTTCTTTTGTGTATCCAAATTAAAATTTCCAATCAAAGTCGCTTGAGTTGTCGTCTGCTCGCTTTACTACCAGCGGTGGGCTCACATTTACGACTTTTAGATTTCACTTTGTTCTTTGTCTCTTCGAAATATCCGGAATCTTGTTCAGTTTCGTTATCCGTTGATCCACGTCGACATTCAATCATTTTCGGTGTTGATGAGATAATATGGTAAACATTTCCAGTAAAATCTACCCGACGTCTTTTCAATTTTCTTCCTTCAGGTGTTGGTTTGATGGCAATTGAATTGGTGGTTATATTTGCTGTTGTACTAATGGTTGAGTTAATAGATGAATTCATAATTGAGCTTATTGATGAATTACCACTTGTATTGGCGCTTGAGGTTATAATTGAATTAGTAATTGAGTTGGCGCTTGAATTGGCAGTTGTATTTACAGTTGAATTGGCATTTGAGTTAACAGATGAATTGGGTGAAGTTGTACTAACAGATATATTGGCATTATTTTCCATTCGTATACAAGACACTTCAACTTCGGCAGCGGAAACCTCATTCCTATTCGCTGAAGGTTGAGTATTTTTCACTTCATTTAGAGCGATCCTATTTTCACTCTTCACCTCTGGAGTTGTTTTCTTGATCGGCCAATTTTCCTATTCAAGAGAAATAGAAAACAAATGACAAAAACAAATTAGATGACCAATGGAATGAATCTCCACAATTGTAACCCAAAGAACAAAAGAAAAACAAATTAATCACTAAAGAAAATCACTTACATGACCAACTTCTTGCTTCAACTCTTGAAGCGCTTTCAAATGGCTCTCCCGCCTTCTCTTGGCATTGGGATCATTGACAATAAAATCTCTGGTACTTTGGCTAACACAACTTAGAATACAAAGTTCCTCAGGTTCCAAGTAGCTTAAAATGTGACTAATCACATGAGGAAATGATTGTCCAAGTTCACTAAGAATGTCACTTACCATGTCACCATTTAATTGCAGTTAATTAGACAAAAGAAATAAAAACAAAACTTCTCAAACCGAAAACATTGATAACCGTTGGAAAAAAACAAATTTGAATTTTCGCTCGATGAATCGATTCCTATTAATCGATTTTCTTCCTTCCCCACGTAGAATTGAAACTCCCTCTTTCGGAATAAGTACCAACTAATTTTCTATTTTGTTTTCTTCTTCTCTTCCACTCAGACCTTTAATCTCCAGAATTTTGTTGATTATTGTGATTGAGTTGATTGTTTTCTTTTCGCAATTTGGGTGTATTATTAAATTTAGTGTTCCAATTAAAATTAATTACCTTTATTTGTTTAGTTTTATTCCATTAATTGTACCAAATAGACACTTCTCAGTATTACCATGTCTGGTGGAAACAGTAGTGGTGTTGCAAGTGGTGGAGGACCTTACAATTACTCCTACATATTCAAATACATAATAATTGGTGACATGGGTGTTGGTAAATCGTGTCTTCTTCATCAATTCACCGAAAAAAGTGTAAGAATTAATTTACAATCAATTGGTGTATATAAATATGTATAAATCTATCGAGGAGTTTCCCCTTTTTTTTCCTAATCTTGGGTATTAATAATCATATGTTTTGTCTTTTCTTTTCTCTCTCTCTCTCTCTCTCTCTCTCTCTCTCTCTCTAATTTAAAGAAAAACACAAAGCAATCAAAAAAAAAACAAACAAACAAATCGGCGAACGTAAAAAAAGAGGTAAATCCAAGAGAGTTTACAAATCACATTCAAGTATAATTATTATACAACAATAAACACACACACGTATTAAAAATGCTCTCTTTTAACTCTTATAACAAGAGACCCGGTTAACAAATATTATATTATAAAAATCCTCCAATCTCCTTGTCTGGCTGTTGAGTGGAGTTATGTTTCTTTCTAATTATAATAAAGCAAAATAAAATCATATATCATTCCGAGATTTAATAAAATATCAATATATTTATGAAAAAAAGAACAAAATTCTTTCACATCTCTTTGTTAATAATCTTTGCTTATTTTGGTGGTTCATTTTGCTTCTTTAAAATTGACAAAGAAAATTATCTTGTAGATTTGCTGAATGCATCAAAAACTTTGATTCCCAATCCATTAAGTGTTTGGTCTTTAAACGGTTAATTATTTTTTTTTCCTTTTTCTTTTTAAGCCCTTGTGTATTTACCCCAAATATGTAAGATGAACACGGAAGCGATGAAAACCAAGCTCATTACAAGAACGGGAACTGGTCCTCTGTAAACAAAATGAGAAAACGTGAATAAATAAAAATGACGAAGAAAGAGATGACAAAACAAAAATCGATTAGAATCAATATGGTAAATTAATAGAAAAAAAAGGAAGAAGGAGAAAAGAAAGGAAAGAAGGAAAGAGAGAATAAATTTCAGAATAGAAAACAAGTCATGTTAATCATAGGATCAATCAACAGTTTACACAATAGAAACTGGTGAATTATAAGGAAACAACAATTAATTAACAACTTACACTTTAATTCCAGGTGAATCATCGGTATAGAAACGCCACATACCCCCTGAAGAAGGTCCACCACCTCGACTTGCAGTGGAAGATGAGCTAGTTCCTGTTTTCCTTAATCTTGCACCACCACTTCCATTAGAAGTTCTAGATGTGATTGCTCGTGGAGATCGACTTCCACCACCGACATTAGTTGCACTAGGAGAAGCAGGCTAAATATGATAAAAGATGGAAAAAAAACCCAAAAAAGACAATTAACAAAACAAAAAGAATAAAATTAAACCAAAAAAAGGAAAATAGAAAAAAAATTGACAGGACAAAACATGGCACTAGAAGAAAAACAAAATGGTCAACCTAAACCAACCAAATAACAGGACCAATCAACAACATCATTAGACACATTGTACTTACCATTTTTAAACTTTATCGGAACAATTAATTACCACAATTAAAATCAATTAAACAGAAATTTAAATTAAAGATACAACATAAGAACACGTCACAGAATCTGATCTTTAACCAAAGAGTCAATTTCTCCAATAGCGGAAGCAGAATTTTCTCTGTTTTGTGTCGCCATCTAGCGAATGGAAAAACAACTAAGGAGAAAAATCGAAAAACAACTTTTTTTATTTTCTTAATTGTTGCGATTAAAGTTAATTACTATTTTGTTTGTAGTTGTTTGAGATTCTAAATTGTTTGCATTTAATTGAATTTAGCTCTCTGATTTAATCAGTTTGGTTTTTTTTTCTTGCATTTGCTTGGAAAAGAAAACTTGACAATCAATTAACAATTAAAGTGAATTTATTTTTGTTTAGAAATCTAATTAATCTTAATTGACAGTTGATTGATTAATGGACTAAATTGTTTGGATGATTTAAAATTTATTTGTCATCTTTGTGGTTTAAAATGATAAACTTTTTTTTCTGATTCTCTTACAATCAAATTGTTATTTAATAAACTACAACTAATTATCATTACAAAAGGAGAGAAAAGTTTTAACTCAATTAAGTTAAATGTTTTCATTGGATTAATGCCAATCAACAATCAAGTTGTAAGTTAATCAAATTGCAACAGTTAACATTTCAATTGATTCATTCATAGTTATGTAAATTTGCTTAGATTAACAATAATCTCAAATTGGACAGTTATCTTATCAATAATTAATAAATTGTTGACAATCAGCTGATCAGCAAAATTGAAATTGCTTACAATTTGTAAATTAGTATTTCTAATTGGTATGAATGTAAATTGTCTAAGAAATTAATTGATTATATGGAAAATAATTAATCATTTTTCTTTTGATTCACTATCATTTTCATAACAATTATTAAATTGTATACTCTCAAGTACAACAATTAAATCAATAAATTGTTGGCTTTGAAATTGAATTTATTTTATTATAACCAATAAATTATTTTCAATTAAACATAAACAATTAATTTGTTGATGAATAAATCATTTTTATGTCAAATTGTGTTTAAATTGTTTGTTTACAATTAAAATAATAATCATATCAACTTAATTGTTGTTGGTTGACTTTGATTGAATGTCATTTGTTTGAATAAATTGCTCCTCTCATTTCAGGATTAAATTGTGATTGGAAAAGTTAATTATTAATAGTAATTTGAAATGACAATTGTTCACAATTATCAAATTACAATTATCTTTGCCAATTGATTAACATGATTCCAAATTACTTTCAAAACTAATTATAAACTTTATCTGATCAACAATTTGTTTTAATCCGGTTTTCACACAACATATTAACCTTGTAACACAATTGTATCTCTAGTGATTCAATTAATCAAATCTAATCCTAACTGTTTATCTTAAATAATCAGTTAATTGTTACATGGGATGATTTAAATATAGTTATGATTAGTTTTGAGGTTGATGATGGATTAGCAAACCAAATCAGCCCAAAGTTAGTTAACTAACAATAACAATTGTTATGATAATCAAACCTAAATCAATTACCATAAATCAAACAAGTTGACCAACTGACCAACCAAAATAAAACAAAACAAAATAAGAATCAATAAATTGTCACAATCAACATCTAATTCAGTCAAATGTTAAAGTCATAAGAGTAAGTTGATTAAAGTGATTAAATTGCTGATTAAAAACTAATGTTATGATTATCAACATGATAGCAAAGAGTAATGGTCAATCCTAATAACTGACCATAGGTGTCTGTCCATTGACCAACAGGTAACAATGGAAACGATTGAGAGATGAAAAGAAAGAGATGATTGTTTTTTCCTCTCTTTTTTTGGTCGAAACATTTAGAACTAAATTTAGTTCTAAATTCGAGATCTCTCTCTCTCTCTCTCTCTCTCTCTCTCTCTCTCTCTCTCATCATCATCATTATCATTATCATCCACTGAGAGATGATGACGAAGAAAAGAGAAAAGAAAGAAAAAAGAAAGTGATAATTGTGAAAATTTTTTCTCTCGAAAAAAATAGTTAGAACTAAATTTAGTTTTTCGCCATCGGATTCATCACTTTAAATTCAAATCGAGCTCATCTCTCTTTCTCTTCCTCATCTTTTATCATCTCTATCATCATCATCATCATCTTTATCTTCATCTTCTCTCTCTCTCTCTCTCTTTCTCTTTCTTTCTTTTCCCTTATTCTCAAAACGATCGTTATGTCTCCATGTATTTCGAGTCGTGAATGAGGACGAGAAGCTCTTTTCGTGATGACGAAGCTGAAGATGAAGATGATGACAGAAAGAGAAGATAAAGAGAGAGAAGATGATAAGTAAGGTAAGAGGAAGATAAAGAAAGAGAAGACAAGAAATTATTTTGAGTGGAAATCGGGCCAACAAAGATATAATTCACATAAAAATTTTCTACTCGAAACCAAATTTAAACTCGAACCACCGAGTTAACATTTAAATTGTTTCATTCGTTTTTAATCATCATATATATTTTTCTACTCAATCTAACCTTCTTTTGTTATAATTAATATCACAATCAACAACTAATTAATTACCACAAACTACTTAGATAAATTAATTGGTCCAAAACCATAACTGAATCAGCTAATTGTTAAAATCAATTGATGAAACATTGAAAATAAACAAACAACTTGAAGAGAAACAAAAATGACAACAAAAGTGAATACAAAAAAAAAGACTTGAAGTTAACAATTGAAACAAAAATCAACTAATCAACTTAGCTAATTGTGGTATCAATTGATTGTGAATAGTCAAAGTATTGATCAATCAGTTAACAATTTGCAAAGTTAATTCAAATTTCCAATGGTTTTTGTGATCCAACAACATTAGTGAAAGTGAATAAATCAAAAAGCCTTCAAATCAACTTAACTTTTTAAACATCAACAATCAACAATCAACCTCATCATCCTAATAATCTTAATCATCGTCAGTTTATGTTTATTAATGAAGAAAAGTTTATTTTTGTTTCGTTTAATTTAGTTAATTTAGCAAAAAGTTAATTCTGTTTATCAATCGACTGTCCGTTAATCAAGACTAACCTTTCACATCGTTTAGATTTCAAGGGTAAACCAAACATTTACTTTAATCATCAACGTAATTAACTTTTAACTATTTCACTGGAATCAATTGTAACCCTTCATCCCTTCAAGCAATTAACCTTTACCAAGGGTTGATTGTTGATTAGCTTTACATTTCAAATGTAAATTGTTACAACTGAAAAACGGTCGGTCTTTAAATTGTTGAAACATTTTAAATTTACATGGATAATCAGTTAAGATTCAATTCACCATTAAGTTAATCATTTCACAGAAAGAGTGAGAATCCTCAGTGATTAACAATTATTAAAATGATGAGAAATGGATGATGAAGATGATGAAGATCATTTGTTTGATTTTACTTTGTTACAGTTCATTTGATTAGTTAACAATTAACCCAACAATCAACTTTTCTTAACGTTACAATTGTTTCAAGTTTCCAGGAAAATTAATAATAAACAAACAAAATGGTTACCATTAAATTAGAAACAATAATAACATTGAAAGAAATTAATTTCTACAATCAAAAGTTGTCTACAATTGTAAATAATCAATTACTAATCATCAATGGATCGTAATTAGTTCAATTACAATCGATACAAATTTGTTCACAATTAATACAAATCAATAAGTTTTCAATGGTTTCGATATGTTGACAAAATGAGCTGATGGATAAAGGAAAAGGAAAACGGAATTTTGTTCCCAATTTAATCAACAATTAACTAATCATCATCAGAAAACGTAAATGTAAGTTGTTTACAGTTCTCGGTAGTTTATTAATATACTAAGAAACAAAAGAACTCAAAAGAAAGAGAAGATAGAAAGAGGATGAGGAAGATAAAGAAAGAGAGTGATGAAAGACTGACAAACTTTTTCTTCCCTAATCATCATCCTAATCATTTCCTTAGACAATCAGCTTGATTTAAGAAAAATTTAAACTATTAAGTTTCCCGCAAAGATGATTATGATTAACATGATGTTGATGATTATGTTGATTAAGATGATGATGAAAATGACTGGTTGCCATCAAGAAACCATCAATAAATACACAGAAACCTAATCATCGATTCGAGGGTAATAAATTTAAACAATTTAAAGTAATAATTTTAACCTATTTTCATCTTCATCTTCATCTTCATCTTTATCCTCATCCTTATCTTCATCATCTCCATCCTCATCTTTATCCCTTTCATGATCTTTGCCCTTTTACTTGAAAGTAGATTTGGTTTGAGCTCATAAAGTTTTCCCTCATCCCAATGAACTTTGTGCTCGTTTAATTAACTAACCATGTTATTTACAATTAACTAATCATCATCCTCATCCTCATCTTCATCTTTTATCATCATAACAATTTTCATCTTTTAAATTGGTTACTTTGAACTTGCCTGTGTTTCAATGATCATTGATAATTTGCCTTAATAGTTGATTTCTTGATTGAGTTTTCTTTCCCAATTAACTTATTGTTACAAGTGAACAATTTAATTAACCATGATGATCATCAGGCGAAAAATTAACTTTCAAGTTTACATGTTAATCTATCCAATTGATTTTGTTTAACTTTTTCAAGTAACAATCAATCGTTAATCAAGTTTTCACTTTAATTTAACTTTTGCTTTTCTTAATTGTTTCACTTTTGTTTTTTTTTGTTAATTTCGTCGTTTCCTTTTCTTAATTGTTACAATGGTTTCTTAAATTTATATTTGATTGTGCTGGTTGACAATTAAAAACCATGGAAACTGATTTACATGGATGAATACGTTGAAAGTAAGAGTTAAACTTAATTGTTGATTAAAAATGATGATCATTATTGTTAACGTTTGTCTCCAATATTTTAATTGTAAATCAAATTTCAACAGTTTAGTGAATTGTTTGGTTTACAAAATCAAATAAACCAATTGATTGTAAACAATTGCTTGTGATAATTAGCTAATCAGTGAGTTAGACTAATTTATTGTTAATCAAATTGACCCAAAGATTGTTGAGAAATTTGATTCTAACAATTAACAGCAATTCCTTTGAGTACAAAATCATTAACTGGTTAAAGGTTAATTATGGTCTTGAAAAGGATTTTACTTATCAAGCTTAATCAGTCAGTCTTTCCCGTTCAATCACAATTAGTTAATCACTTACAATGGTTTGGGTTAAATTGAATTGTTTATCCTTAATTTTCACTAATTGTGATCAAATTTTTCTTTCTATTGTTAATTTCTAGTATCGGAAAGAAAGACAAGAGAGGCAATTCATCATCATCATCTTCATCATCCTCATCCTCATCTTCATCACAATCAACTTGATCATAAATTGTGCTACTCAGGTAATACGATAAATAACTCATTGTGCCAAGGATCATCATTTAATCATCATCCTAATGATCAAATTCAATCATCATCATCATCATCGTCAAGTAAATTGTCACCAACAAATCAACAATTTGATCCTCAATCAACAACCATTACAACAATCAGATCATCATCATCGATTAAATTGGTTAATCGTAATTTAAACTCACCAATTATTTCACTTTTCAAATCATTTGTTTCTTGGCCTTTGGATAATCAACTGATCACTTCCATCATTATGATTGACGTTTTCAAATCACTTCGAACTTTTCTCAAAATTTCCCGTGTTCATATCGACAACAGTATCTTGCGACTTCACTATTCATTAACGGTTATCCTTTTAATTGCTTTCTGTGTGGTGGTAACGACTAAACAATATGTCGGTGATCCTATTGATTGTATTAAAGATGAAAATATCCCACCGTCAGTGATTAACACCTATTGTTGGATCCACACCACGTACACAATTCCCAGAGCATTGGCTCGTTCAGGATCAAGAGGATTCCCTCACCCAGGCATCGACAGTACTCAAGATGAAACCGAATTCAGGTATCACAAGTATTACCAATGGGTAAGTCGAATTATCGAAAATAATTCAACCTTCGAATTTTTTCATTTTCGAACTTTTCTTCTTCCTTTCCCACCCCTTAGGTGTGTTTCGTTCTATTCATCCAGGCAACTCTTTTCTACATTCCAAGATGGCTTTGGAAACTATGGGAAGGCGGTAAAATAGCAGCGCTCATGATGGACTTAGATGTCGGAATCTGTACTGAGCCAGGTAAGTTTTTCGAAGTGACGATTTTCTCGATTGATCGCTAATGAGAATTTGCCAAATTCTATTTAGAAAAGAGTAACAAGAAAAAGCTTCTAGTGGACTATTTGAACGCGAGCGAAGGTCATCATGATTGGTACGCCGCTAGGTAAGTGGACATTTCGAAATGTGGATTAAAATTTGAATCGATGGTTGTATCAATTGTTTTCTCTGTTTTCGATTAGATTTTTTTTCTGTGAGATTTTGTTTCTTGCCAATGTGACCGGTCAAATGTACATGTTGGACAAATTTTTCGAAGGTGAGTTCCTTCGTTATGGTATCGAAGTAATCCAGTTTTTCCAAATGGATCAAGAAGATCGGATTGACCCAATGACCAGAATATTCCCCAAAGTGACCAAATGCCGATTCTTCAAGTATGGACCATCAGCAGGTCTAATTTCAATCGACGCTCTTTGCCTTCTACCATTGAACATAATCAACGAAAAGATTTACATCTTCATTTGGTTCTGGTTTTATACTCTTACCTTTCTTACTGGTTCCATGATATTGGTCCATCTAATTGTGATCGCCTGTCCACCAGTACGAGTTTACATTCTTCACACACAATTCCGTACTTCTCAGCTTGACCATCTACACACAATCGTGAGAAAAAAATCCATCGGCGATTGGTTCTTATTGTACATGTTAGGTCAGAATATCGACTCCGTTGTGTTCAAAGACGTTCTCAAAGAACTGGCAACATCCAGTGATTCACAGCCCAAGGAATCACACAGCTGATAATTGTTTTAATTGTTCATCGTATCATCAGCTGATTTAATCATCATCATCATCATCATCGCCATCAAACATTTCACACAACTGACCATTCGTGCCCCCGACATTTGTGCCCTCATCAAAAGTGACCTTAAATGTTTTGTCTCGTTCAAATGTGTGACCAATTGTGGCCTTTCAGTTAATTGTGTTGATCTTTGTGACTTAATTATCTTGCAGCAATTAACTGATTTCCCTGATTGTTTATGTAAATAGTTGACAGAGTTAATTGTTTACTGTTAACTCTCTGTGTCCATTGTTACGGCTTCTTGTCCAGTAACTTTAGGCTGATTGGTTTTAAATTAATTAATTTAATCCACTAATTACTGACTCTTAATTGATCACTAATCATTTCTACAATTTTAATTGTTTTCTTTTGTTTTCGCCCTCTCCAATCAAAGTTTTCCTTGCTCTCTCTCTCAACTAATTTGATTGTTTATCAAATTGTCCAGTTAATTAATTTTTGCAAACAAACATTTTTTTACTTAGGTTTTAATTGTTTTGATTGCATTTTGTCAGCTAAAATGAACACCTTAATTTGATGACTGCCAATTAGTTAATTTAATTGTTGTATACTTGAGTGTTTTTTGTTTTTCAACTATTAATTTGACCCTTCAAATTAATCAGTTTTAATTGTTAACAATTAACCATCGATTGAAAGTTTTGTCAAATAAATCATCAAATTCATCATCGATTATAATAATAATTAATTCAAATTACTTGAATAATTGTTTTTAATTCATGTCAATTTAGCAAATTAACTTTGCTAATTGTGTAAAATTTTTGATTCACAATCAAGAAACGTTAATTTTAATTAAAAAGCCAACAATTGATTGTCAATATTCAATCTTAATGGTTGATTAATTTGTCGCTTAATTTGATTCGCATTTGATTAAGATTAACTCGGTGTCAACAATTTGATTTATGAGATTGTTAATCCTTAACTAATTTAGCTAATTGTCATCTAATTGTATCTCTGATCCAGTGTTTCTTTCAATTTCATGATCATGATTGATGTAATCAACCCAATCCATCACTGATTGTTGTAATTAACTCTTACAATCATTTCAATTAACTGAATGAATGAAAAATAAATATTGAATGAGTGAATTACAAACAATTAAATCATTCCGATGAAATTTTATTTAAAAAGTTACTTGTTTTAAAATTGTTTCATTGATAATATTTGATTTAAAATATACTAATACAATAATGTAAATTAATTTGTAGGGAAAGATTAATTAAAAATTAGATTAGATTGGTAATAAAAAAAACAATCAATAGCTGATTAAACATTTGAATCAATTAAATGAGTATTTTGTAAATATTAATAGTAGTTTGAGCAAATGAGGAAAATTTGATTCAATGAAATCAATATAAAAATGAAGTGATTTGGATTGATGATGATTCAATTTGTTGAGTAACTTTCAAGTGATTAAGTGACAATCAACTGATCATCATGGTTAATGTTAAAGTTTTTGCTAATTGTGTAAAATTTTGATTCACAATCAAGAAACGTTAATTTTAATTAAAAGCCAACAATTGATTGTCAATATTCAATCTTAATGGTTGATTAATTTGTCGCTTAATTTGATTCATTTGATTAAGATTAACTTGTGTCAACAATTTGATTTATGAGATTGTTAATCCTTAACTAATTTAGCTAATTGTCATCTAATTGTATCTCTGATCCAGTGTTTCTTTCAATTTCATGATCATGATTGATGTAATCAACCCAATCCATCACTGATTGTTGTAATTAACTCTTACAATCATTTCAATTAACTGAATGAAGGAAAAATAAATATTGAATGAGTGAATTACAAACAATTAAATCATTCCGATGAAATTTTATTTAAAAAGTTACTTGTTTTCAAATTGTTTCATTGATAATATTTGATTTAAAATATACTAATAATAATACAATAATGTAAATTAATTTGTAGGGTAAGATTAATTAAAAATTAGATTAGATTGGTAATAAAAAAAACAATCAATAGCTGATTAAACATTTGAATCAATTAAATGAGTATTTTGTAAATAGTTTTGAGCAAATGAGGAAAATTTGATTCAATGAAATCAATATAAAAATGAAGTGATTTGGATTGATGATGATTCAATTTGTTGAGTAACTTTCAAGTGATTAAGTGACAATCAACTGATCATCATGGTTAATGTTAAAGTTTTGATTAAATCGACAATGGTTTCGATGATGGTCAATGGACAGTTAATTTAGCCGATGCTAAACCACCAGCACCTCCATCGGGAATACCGGGACCACCATCAGGAGCACCACCGCCACCACCACCTCCACCCTCAGGGGAAATGCCTCCTCCTCCAGCACCTCCATCAGGAGCACCTGAGGTACCATCAACTCGATAAAAAAGGCGATCGAAAACTGGACAAGGAAACTGATTGGATCCAAACAATTAAGATGATTCGATGAAAATTTGAAGTCAACATGACAGAGAGTAGGTTGTTTCTTGTTTCACTTTAAAATTGATTAAATAAACTTTTTACTATCAACATAACAGTTAATTTTGAGTGGTCAACTTTTTCGTAAATCTTTGAGTAAAACAAACGCATCAGATGGAGATATTTTCTTGTAATAATTTTCCGCAGTATTGATAATCTCAAATCCAAATTTCTTGTAAAAAGCCAAAGCGATTTCATTGTTAATCTGAACGTGTAACATTAGCCCATCAAATCCATTGGTCTCCGCGTAATTTAAAACATGATTTAACATCAGGCTACCTGAGAGACAATCAGTTAATTGATTGAGAGAAGAACAAGAAAAACAAAACAATACATGAGCATTTCAACGAACCGTTAGAGAGATGAAAACGTAACTCATTTCAAATCTCAAAAGAGAATAGAATTTTTGTTTTGTTCTTACCAATTCCAATTCTCCGATATGGAGCTAAACACCCAAGAGTCATGATATATAATTTCTTTGGATGGTTAATTGTATCGATTCGGCAACAAACTCCACCAACAATGGAACCATTAAAAGTAACAATCTTAGCCAATTGACCCGAAGCCAAAGCGTCTTTGTAAAATTTGTCATTGTAATTAACTGGGAAAATGATTTGATTGATTCGTCGGAAACATTTAACATTATCCAAGGTGAGATCACATAATTCAATTTTATTAACCCTTCGAGATTGACAATCAGGCATTTTAACAATAAACATTTACAATTAACACTAATTAAAACCAACGACAATTAAACCAAATTGAAAAAGAAAACAAATTTGATTCGGATTCACTTTCAACTCGATATTCGGATAATGATCCTTACCGATAATCGATCCAGAAAAAGAGTTAAAATAGACACTTGACCTTTATACTCACCAAAAGGTCGGTTAAAATAGTCACTTTTCCCGAGCAATTAACTGATTGTTTCCAAACTACAATTTAATCGATTGTTCAACTTGTTATGATCGTCGAAAATTTTTGCTGTTTGTCAAAGTGAAGGTAAATTGTTAGAGTTTGTGTTCATCTTATTTTCTTGTGATTTCGATGATTGTCATTTGATTGCAATTAACATGAACATAGATCGAGTTAAAATAATTGAGATGATTGGTAGGAACAATTAATCGATTGGTCTCATTATTGATTCGCAGTAAAAAGTACCAATGACTATGGGAAAATTTTCCTCATCAAATGTTTCGTTCCGACCCGAAACTGGAACGAAATGTTCAAAATTTCGTCGTGATTTTTTACACCAAAGGTTCATGAAATTCAGTCGTTTCTTTGAACTTTTTTTCCTTCATAAGTTCCCATGTCCCAGTAGATTCGCGCTCGAACCATTGGAATGGGCATTAGAAAGTTTTCTCTTACTTAGTTTACTCTTTGTCTTCGTGTTCGTTGTTTGCCCGGTTAATTTCTTGGCATCTTCTCTCATCATTGTGTATACATGATACGAACAATTAAAAAGACAACAATGGTAACAGTGTGTATCTTTTAATTGTGGATAAAAATATGCGCCAATATTGTAAATGAATCTCGCTTGTTGTGTAATCAAGATGGGTTCTCTTAATTGTCATCATTTCTCTGCTCCCATAGATGGAAAAATTATTCTCGGACTATATTACATGACGATTTAAATACGATGAGATGTGGAAATAGAAATTCAATTCTACTCGAACATGTAATTCTATTTGGACTGTGAATGGTTTTTCTCTTGGAAAATTCAACAAAATGATTAGTTGCCAAGCTAATTGTGTCTAATCAGTCTTTGATCTTGCTTGATTTTGTTTCTCTCTCTCTCTCTATTTAGCCTCTGTTTGGCATACCACTAATGATAAAAGGGTATCTAATAGACTCTCTGAGAAACAGGAGCCAGGGAATTGAGATACATCATGAAAGATGAATGATAAAATTATTGAAATGAATAAAAAGCAGCCACTAATTAAACAATTGAACGTAAGGAAGGGAAACAATAACAACTAATTGAGATGATGATTCGAATTGTTTCAACGAACATATTAAACTTATCATCAAATTGGAGTGAAAAATATTTTTAGATTGTTAACCAGAGACAAAGGAACGAAGAATCATCAAGATTAATCAACAAGAAGGAGAAATACAAACAAATTAAAAGGTTAAATCATCTCAATCACAGTTAATTAATATTCTTAATTTATTGTTATTTATCCGAATAACTGATTTTAAAATTATTCTTTTATCATTTACAGTTAACTAACTAATAAATCATATGAATTTCCATCATTGTAACGAATCATTTAGATTGTGCTTTCGATTTTCATCTAAATCTATCAGCAATCAAATTAATTGTTCAATTGTTTGGATTAACTTTTCGTGTTAAGTTCAATGTAAATCTAATAGATGGCACTTTGGGTAACCTTTCGAGGAAAAAATTAATTTAATTGTGAAAATGTTTACAATAAACTTGACATTTCGATGTTGAGAAATGAAATTATGTCCAACAATTAAGACCAAATCACGATCAGATTGTGGTTTCCATTCAATTAGCAATTAAAAGCTTCATAATAAATGAATTGTAGTTTATTGGTGTAAGTTAATTGTTGGTGATTCTTAATTGTTTCCATCACAATTTCTTATTTTTGCCTCCAAAATTTAACTAAATTAATCGTCCATTCAAGTTACGTGTAATTATCTTAATCCTGTCATCAAGCTCTTAATTGTCAAGTATTTTAATCCTACGTAAATGAAACAATTGTCTCGTAAGTCAATCATTGTCTTATTAATTTTCGTCACCTCTTTGGTTAAATTTCCTATGATTTATTAATAAGAGAAGAAGATGAATTGATTAGGATTAACATTGATTAAGAATTTTCTTACCTTAATTATTAGATTGATTGTCCATTTAATTAGAATCCTTGTTTCGCCTTTTCTTCAGCTTCTCTTTGCATCTTCTCTAATTTCTCAAGAGTCACTGATTTTAATGGTAACAATTTAGGTTTACACAACATGAAGAATGGTTTCTCTTCATGTATGATTATCCCTCGATCAGGAATCACTGGTTTAACAATTTGATTATCATCTTCTTTGACAATCTCCATGATTAACAATCAAAAACAGCAAAATATCAGATTCATGAAAAAAAACGACAATCAAATTGAGAAATTGATTCTTACCATGGTTACGAAATCAAATCAAATCAAAACAATAAACATTCACAACAACCAATGGGCTTTGTTTACAATAATTAGTAAATAATTATTCCAAAAATTAATTAATACTTTTCCAATATTTTCAATCTACCAAGAAGAAACTTTTGCAATCAAGATGATTAAATTGTGACAATTAAGCAAATTTTGTTTTGCCCTTTGCCCTAATTAAAGTTAATAAATTGATATTTTTACCAATATTAATTTAACAAATCGACTCTTTGATTAACAACAATTAATTTCATAGGTTAAGGAATGAGAAATAAATTCAATTAATTGATTAAATTGATTGTTTTGTAATTACAATTAGAAAGTTAATTCGGTGAAAGTGTCGCCATCTATTGAGTGTTTTTTTCTTTAGGTTTGATTGTTGAGAGTTGAAGTGAAGTCATTTTTTAGCTCTTCAATTTTTATTAATTAAAAGTGATAATTAATTCAGATAAATTCGTAATTTTTATATAAATTGATTGCCCGAAGGGTCACTTATCATCCGACATCACGTTAGTAAAAATAGAATCATGAATTGGGATTTTAAACTCACTTGAAAACTTTCTTCTCGTCTTTCATTTCCACTGTACTCTGTCAATATAATTGCTCTTAATTAAAACTAATTACAAATTATTAATCAATGTGTAAACTCAAAATCATTGTTACTATTTATGGGACAAAACAACAGTTATCAGCAGAGATTCATCAATGTATGGAATTCATTTCACCGAATATTATCATTATTGAAACTTCTGAAAGTTCTGTTCATGAAAAGTTCAAATTCTGTTCTCAGGTTAACAATCAACTGTGATTTCTATCAATTAGATTTTTGTCTTTTTCATCTTCACCCTGAGGAACTTAAATGTTGACCCATAAGCTCAATTATTCATTACATTTCCATCAGCTTTTCATGTAATCACCACAGAGATTCAAGAGCCTCTTCCCTTTGATCATTATCTGAACTTAAGATCAAACGAAACTGAAATTTATATTGATCGAAAGATAAACTTTAAAAGTTAATCGTTACGCTAATAAAACGGGAAGTGAACAGCGACTGTAACTCATTTGCAGCCGAGAAACAGTAAGCCACTAATTACATTAATCAAGAAATTAAATTTAGATGAATCAATGTCAGAGAAAAATTAAATTTCTAAATTTTTACTCATAACTTTGAATCCGTTAGATTGACAGGAAGTTAAGGAAGGTGAAAATAATATGACAAACAGAAAAGTTGATTATTCGAGTGTGAATTTATGAGAAACAGATTAAATTACTATGATTAACTCTTAATTGGATGAATAATATAATGTCTCTGAATTGGAACGAGAAAGGATGAGCAAAGTGGATCAAGAGGGTAACCTTATTTTTAATGGAAAAACTAATCAGGGTGATGATGTAACTTCCTTTCGGATTCTTTGATTAGAATCATTAGCAATTACCTGATTGCTTTTGGCTTTTAATTGTGAGACAATTAAATATCATACAGCAATTACGAATCGTAACCTTTATTGACAGTTTTAATTTTATCGAGTGAGAAACCTTGTTAACAGTGTTTTTTGCAAGTTAATTGTTGTCCATTCGAATTGCTGTTTGTTTTTTTTCTGTTTTCATGATTAGTAAATCATTGAAATTTCACTTTCTTTTTTTCGTTCTCGTTGATTACTAGTCTTAATAAATTCTTGGAAATGGAAGACGTTCTGTTGGTTGAAGCCAATTAATCGACCATTCGGTCTCAACCTGATCGATCACATGAAAAGTACAAAGTGATTGAGGTCAATTCGTTTGATTAGGTCCACTCTTATAAACGACCAACCAATGGATAAGTAATGAAGATCTTTTTGGCACAGTAACAGGTCGGAATGAAGACTCATGATACACCGTTTCAGGGAAATCGAATGAAACTTTGAGCCCCGAATCGTCATTGCTTCTTATGAATCTATGAGGAACAAGATCTTTTTTGGACTTTGCATTGAACCATAAACATCCGTTTTCGAAGCATCTTCTAATGCGAACCAGAATTCCGTCAATCCGGTCGTTGGTTCAAACCGATAAACGCAAACAAATGAAATAAAAGGGTAATTTATGATCATCGTGTTTGTGACAATCTTGCATTCGCAAATCTAATCATGTCAATAATTTTGGTGATAATCTGGTTAATCGAATAACAGAATTAAATTCTGTCTCTACTGATTTACTATATCTACGGTCACTAATTAGAGAAATAGTTTCAGTTTCCATTTGAACCTTGGATTTTCCTGATTCAGTGTCAGGTATTCGCAGGTTAATAGTGAAGAGAATATTATTAGAAAATCAACTTTTGTGCAAAATGACAACTCGAAAATGAAAAACATACAAACAAATCATTAGAATGATTTAAAACACTAATTTAGTGAAGACGAGGAGGAAAAAAATACAATAACAATTAAATCGTTTTGAAAAACTGTTATTCACAATAAAAGGATCTCACAATTAGTTCAACAATCAAATTGATTGTATTATTTTCACTTTAAATCAATTACAACTGAGCGAAAGGCACAAGAGAGAGAGAGAGAGAGAGAGAGAGAGAGAGAGAGAGAGAGAGAGAGAGAGAGAGAGAGAGAGAGAGAGAAGAAAAAAAAAAAAAATGATTAATAAAAAATAAAAAGGAAACAAAAGGTAATATGAAAAAATCGTTATACAATATTATATATATGGCGATTCGTTAACCGGTCAATATATCAATTAATTAATTATTTATATATTTATATATTTGTTATAATTCCAAAAAAATAGTAATAATAATAAACAAGGATTAGAATTTTTCGTCCCAGCCTGTGGTATCGTCCACCGGTGGTGGATCAGTGTCCGCGGGGTAATTATCAAAATTAGAAGTATCTGTCGGGTGTCGAACCTGATTGGAAGTAAGAAAAAGAAAAACAATAGTCCATATTAGATTCGAGAATTTGTTACTTTTTTTCGAAATGTTCTTTACACTGGTCACTTACAGTAGGAACTATTGGAGGTGGTAAGGCTCTAGATCGAAGGCCTTCCCAGAAAAAGCCGTCGAACCATTTATGTTTACGAATATCGTCGATTCCGTCTTTCTGGTAACCCAATCGTTCAGAAGGATTGTCCTTGCAAAGTTTTTTGATTAAATGAGTTGCGTTGCTTGAAATCATCCGAGGAAAGTCAATTGCATTGATCCCTGTTAACAATTAAAAATAGAAATCAATCAATCATCCCCAATTATGACTCCATTTGAATCATTTTGTTTCTAGTAATTAATCACAATAGTAAAATGATCCATCAGGTTAATTGCTGTTTACCAACAGCAATTAAGTGTCTCCAAGTTTTACCTTTCAAAATAATTGTATAAGTTTGCATTGGATCGGGACCTGTGAAAGGAGGTGTACCAGTTAATAATTCAAACATTAGAACTCCTAATGACCAATAATCAGCAGAGTAATCATGACCACGATTAAGTATAACTTCCGGTGCAACGTATTCCGGTGTCCCACAGAAAGTCCATGTTTTCCGTCCGGGAGGTGATAATTTCTTGGCAAATCCAAAGTCGGTTAACTTAACGTAACCAAATCTGTCTAATAACATATTTTCCGGTTTGAGATCACGATAGATGATGTTACGTGAATGAAGGTAATCAAAGGCTTCGATTACACATGAAGTGTAAAATCGGGTAGTCGGCTCGTCGAAGTAACCTCGATCTCGAAGAATAGTCCAAAGTTCCCCACCTAAACACGATTCCATCAACATGTAAAGGTATTTCGAATCTAGAATATAACAAAAAAAAAGAGAAAAGAAAATTAATTATTCCTTAAGTTAATTCTCTAAGAAAATAGTGTCAATTTGGTGATGTTTTATCACCGAAGAAGATTATGATTAACTAATCATGATTAAGATCACCAGGTATTAATAGAAACATTAACCAGATGATTAGAGTCAGTGAACTGAATCATGTAATTTCTTGTTCTTCCTTGTATTTAGAAAGTAATCAACTAATCACTTGGCTTTAGATTATTGTTCCCATGATGATGTCTGTTGATTTAATTGTGAGATAATTATAACACTGATCATCATTGATAATCAGATAATTTTGTTGGCATTCTGTTAATTTCAATTTTCACAATTTCATAACTGATTAATTGGCAAGGGCAAGGGCAACGGGAAACACGCAATTTAATCAACATGATCAAATCAAGGAAAACGAGTATTGTCAAAATAATTAACAAATATTAATAGAAACGCAAAAAAAAATGTCTTCAATTTTTGTTTGCCAATTAAACAAAACAATCAATCAGATTGATCAAGTGAGAATCAAAATTTATCAGTTTGCTGAATCAATTGATTTTAAGAGTAACAATTAACTTTGGGCCATTGTTGAATTACTTGATTGTCTTCCCATTGATCTTGTTGCGTTTTGAAATATTAAATGATCAATAATCATCTATAGTTAATCTGAATGTTTGCTTGTGAACATCAATCCGATCAACAATTAAGACACTTTACCTTTAAATGTTTTGAACAATTTAACGATAAATGGACAATTAGCTTCCATCATGATTGTTTTTTCACTTAAAATGTGCTGTTGTTGTCGGGTCTCGACAATTTGGGCTTTCTTCATAACTTTCAAGGCGAAACTGCGTTCACTGTCATTGACCAGGGTCACCAATTCAACTCTTCCGAAACCACCAACACCCAAAGTGGACACAACCCTAAGGTCACTTAATTTGATTCCTTCAAATTGTTCCTCTAACCTGTAAAAACCAGCATAAAATTAATCAATTAGAACAAATCAAATGAGATTAACACTCAGTGAACACTTAATTTGTGCTCTTTATCGGGTAAATAAGGAAAAAAATAAAAATAAGTTGATTAAAAGGAGATTAAGGAATCAAATTAAAACTATAAATTAATTAAAACCATCGAAAGAGAATGAGATAGATAATTAGATTTGTACCTTTTCTATGATCTCTATTGATTGGCAGCAATTAGAAGATAATTAAAAGGGAAGAAACAATTATTATTGATTAGTAAATTGAGGTGAATGATAATCGTCATGATTGTTAAAATTGATTAGTGACAATTAACTTTTCCTGTGAGTTTTTTTTGTTTGTTTCTCCTTCATCAAAAATATCATCACAAATTATTTCAATTTGATTGTTTTGATAGATTATTATCTTTATCCAAATTCATTGTGAAACAATTAAACTTATTATCATCCAAAATTGAAGCTGTTAATTGTTGGTAATTAATTGATTACTTACTTTTGACGGAGAAGTAAATTAGAGTCATCATATTGCTTGGATTTGAAATCTTCAAGATCATCAAATAGTTGTTTAAACGACCTGAACAATTAGAAAATAATCCAAATTAGTTAAACAATTAACAGAGATACACACTGGGAATACATAATTAACAGTAAATTGATTACGATGTTGAAATTGAAACAATTAAAACAAACGAAACTAACTTGATACCAGATAAACCAGGTAATCGTTTTACCATTAATTTAATTGCAAACAGTGAAACTTTGATAAATACTGAGAGGATTAAGTTAATTGAAGGTTTTTGATTGGGTCTATTGTCATTGTGAGCTGCTAATTGATGAAGGTGAACGCTATTAGATAAACAAGATAAAGTTGTCATTACAATTAGAAAAAAGTTTATAAACAATTAAGTTAATTAAAAACTGAGATTTGGTAGGAAACACAAGGAAAAAAAGTTATTAGGACGATGATTGAGATTAACCAGTAATCCAAAATGAAATGAGGTAATCAAAAGTAAATTCAGATGATTTAACTGATTGAGATTGTTTAGATTTTCGGTGAGATGATTAATTGATTGTGGTGAGTATAAAGTAAACAATAAAATCCATGTAATAATAATAATAATAATCAATTGAGTTGTTATAATTAGCGAAACACATATAACAGATTAACTACATTTGCCAAGTTGATTGAGCTCGAGCAGAAAAGGGCAACAATTAAAAACAGAATTAACCAATTGATTAGTTGATTGTGAAGAAAGTAATGAAATTGATACACACACACACAATCAGTTGATATAATGATTATCAACCAAGTTAATTAAACGTAATAAAGTGATAAAGGTAAATAAAAAAAAAGACGAAACTAATTGATAACTAAATGATCAACAACGAGATGACCTAAATGAAAACAGGTAACAAAAACAAATGATACAAGATGATGATACGATCAAGGCTCTGGACTAGGGAAGCCTCAGATTGTGGTTGATTGTTTGGGTTGATAGTTGATCTTTGCTGGTTTATGATGATTGTGATTAACTAATTGTTGTAGGTATTCATTTATATGTAATATATTGAATGATTAAGTTAACTGTTTAAATGTTTAATAATAAATCAGATGATGACAAGATTTTCATGAGTAAAAATAAAACGACTGATTAAATGATAGCGACTCTTGATTGTGTGTCTCTGAAATGGCAACAATTTAGTTGATTTTTTTGTTTTGTTTGATGGTTAACATTAAACTAAATTAACTAAGGTTAATGATTTATGGTTGAGGTTAATTGTTGAACATTATCAGATAATTATAATGAGTCTCTTTGTAATGGTAATGGTTGTTGATGACACCCAGAAAAAAATAACATTTTCATTTGGCTGAGGTAACTGTTAACAATTAATGGTTAGTTAATTAGTTGTTGATTGTTTAATAATAATATATGATCAAAATCTACCAGTGTTTTCAGATGGAAATGTTTGATTAATTGTTGAGATGATTATCTTAATTGTTTGTGTATGTGATTAGATAGTAAATTGGATTGAAAGTGAGAGTAAATCAAAATGAAACTATTTATATTTGGATTGATGAAAAACCTTCAATGGTTAATACTTGGTGATTATTATTAATACAACAATCAATGAGTTGATTAGATTCAATATTAATAGTAATTAATTGAGAATTGAGAATTTGTTATCACCTTGATTGAGTTGATTGTTAAGCTAAATTATATTGGCAAATATTAAATAATTTTAGTCTACTTGTTTGTATATTGATTAGGCTTGAATCTTGTGATTTAGTATTTTTTACTGTTGATTACAATCAACTAATCATTATAGTAAATCAAGATGATGAATATAATCATAAGCAGCAATTTCATTTCTAAATTGTTGTGGGTTTTTTTTATTCCATTGATGATTAATCGACTCATTTTACTAATTGTAATCAAATTTACTTGGTTACTATAATTAGAAATGGTTAACATTGAGGTTGATTCAATGATTTAAACGTTAATTGTTGATCAAGCAGTTAATGATTTATTAATTGACAAGATATTCAATCATATAATCTAGTGGTTTGATAGTCAAGGATTAGTTTTAGTTTAACAACTGAATCAGATCAACTGATAATTATTAATATTAACAATTAGAATCAACAACAATTAACATGAGAAAAAAAACTATTGACAATGTTTTTCACTCGATTAAATTAAAACTATCAATAAATGTTAGAACTGTTAATTGTTATATGATATTTAATTGTATCACAATCAAGAACCAAAACCTGATTGATGATTAACCAACAAGTTAATCAACAACCAAAAGCAATCAGTTAATTAATTGTTAACAAAAAAAAGTTGTGAATCTTGTTCATAAATGATTCCAATCAAAGTATATTAGATACTAAAAAAGGTAAATCAAATAAAAACAAAACAATTAACTTAATCATGACAATCAATTGATTATAATCAATTGATTAACACTAAGCAGATTCAAGACAATCAATGAATAGAAATGAAAAACAACAAAATAAATGGTCAAGTTGCAATTAATCAATTGTCTTAATGATTTCAATTAATGAAAACAAAGCAATTAGAAATGTAACAATTGAACTAATCATCTTTAATTGTTGCTGATTAAGCTTTAATCAAAGTGTAAGAGGTTTAAATTAACACAAAAGGATTTTCCTTGCTTTCTAATGACAATATTTACGAACCAAATGATTAGCTAATTGCAACGTTAACGGGATGAAATTAAGTTAACCAATTTACTAATCTTAATTTCTGAGTGCTTTCTAATTGTATCTCATTTAGACCTTTGATTTAGTTAATAATAATAATACTTTTACATGATATTGACTGACAATATCTATTGATTGTATCGATACCAATTTCAATAATCAAAAGTAATAGTCTAATGAAAAACAAATCCGATAATCAGATTACTATTGGTGATTAATCAGAAATATATGTTGACATGATTATCTTTGGTGTAATGAAGTTTTCAAAGGGATTGCAAAAGTATCAAGTTAATTGATGAATTGATTAATCATCCAAGTTAATTATGTATTAAATTGTAATTCGATGGGTTAAATACTCACTCTCTGTCCATCACCAAACACTGGACCTCATCCGAATGAGCGATAACATTGGCAGTTCTAATATCTTCATGGGTCAAGGCTCGTTCACCGAAAGAATCACCTTTCACAAGGGTTCGAATAATTTTCTCTCCGTCAGGATCATTTTCGTCTTTAATTGTTACCTGGACCGATCCTTGCCTGATAATATAAAAGGTCACTCCTTTGGCACCTTGTCGAATGATATAATCTCCAGATTTGAATACAGCCTGAGGGGAAATAAGAAAAGAGAGAGAAAGAAAGAAAAGAAAATGATTAATATCCAGTGAGTGAGAGAGAGAGAGAGAGAGAATGACAATTAAATTAAATTGATGAATATGACTAATCAGAATGGGGATCATGACAATATCATGATACCTGTCATAATGGGCTTACAATATTTCAAGGTCATCGGACCAAATGATTAACATTGAGTTCGATGATAATATTAAAGTTAAATTGTTATCATTGTTGGGAGACATTAATGATTTGGTTAATATTGTCAATGGACATTAAATGATGTGAATTGCATGTGATTAAATCATCATTTAACTGAATGAGGGATGATGATGATGGAAAACAACACAATGATGATTCAGAAGATGGAGGAAATGAATTGAGATAAATTAATCAATTAATGATGAGGAATAAGCTAAATATCAACTTTGGTTAGGAAATCAAGGTGTCATTAATATGAGATGATGATAATAATAATAATGATGATGGTAATGATCAGTTTTCAGAAAAGTAAATGATTATCATCATAAAGATAAAGAATCTTTCTGAAAGCAATTAATTAACAATAAAAGAAAATAAAAGAAATTAGAAATTTACTTTGATTTAATTGTGCAAATCAGTATCTATTCATTTGCAACAATCAATGAATCAGCTAATTGATTTAAACTTGAATACAAGTTTAAAGGTTGAACCATAAGGTTTAATCAAAATGGTATAACTGTAAATTGATCAATCAGTTAATTAATCATTTACATTGGTGAGGACACAAGAATCAATTGCAAACTATTCAATGTTAAAGGTGAACACATCAATAAGAATAAGAAACAGAAAGAAAAAAGGTAAATCGTATTGAGAAAAAGGTCGAAAGATGATAAAATGATGACGATGACGAGGATGATGATGAGAATGAGAGAGAGAGAGAGAGAGTTACAAGTTCAATTTGACCTCTAATTACTTCCTATTTCCAATTCCTATTACAATTTCATGACCTTATTCGAGGCCACGAATTAACATCAATGAGGTCGTGAAAAGATTGACATTAAAAACTAAATTGTTTGGCGGGAATAAGAAAGTTAATAAGATGAAAAATAAATAAGAATAGATAATTAGAAATTAATTAACGATCAAGAGTGAACAATTTAAAAAGTGTCTCAAGTGGAAACTGAATCAGAATGAGCATTACAATTATAATCAAGTATGATTGTGAATTGAAACATCATTTGATTATAACCTGAAACCTGAAATAAACTAACAGATTAAAAAAAGGAAAACAATTTGTTTTTTTCAACAATCCTAATAGACTTTCCAATAAAATCAACTAATTGTTAACAATTAAATTAATCCAATAGTTTCATCTAGACAGTTATGGTCGAAATGAGACTTTCACAAGTAATAATATAAATAAAATTATAACGAAATGATAATACACAACATTCTGTTTCCTTGTGGTAAATCATATGAAGATTGAATGATTTTCTGAAAAAAAGTGATAGTTGAACACATGAAACCTAATGGTTAATGATAATGCCGCTGATGATGATGATGATGATGATGATGAAATTAATGTGACAGATAGACAGGGAAAAGATGAGAGAGAAAATAAATAAAGAGGGAAGGTATACCTCTTCGAGAACATCAACAATTTTGGTTATATGTTCATCAGGAAGCTTTTGGAAACTTGGCACAGTTTTCAGAAATTCCATGTATTCTTTTTGTTTAATTAAACCCGTTTTCATCATAATCGATTGGAAACATTGTCGTTCAATGGCCCATAATTTGCATAAACCGATTGCCTTTACCGACGCAGTTCGAGTACAATTGTACAGTACAGCCAATTCACCGAAAACTTTACCTGGTCCCATGGTGTGTAAAACTTTACCCTCTTTGCTAACCTCGACTCGACCCTCTTCCAGAATGTAAACCACTGAACCAATGTCACCTTCCTTAATTATCCAAGTATTTGGTTCAAAATTAACTGGATACATGCTATCGGTAATCTCTTTAATCTGTTGTTGATCCAAATTCTTCATGAAATCATTGTCGAGTATTGCAGCGTTAATCAAGTCCCGGGCTCTATGGGTGATTCCAAAATTCAGTTCATTATCGTTTATCCAAATTGATGATTGATCACCAAGACGATTGAGATATTCAAGGTAAACAATTTAGGAAAAGGAAAACAAGGAAAGAAAAAGAAAAGAAAAGATTTGTTATTAATTAGTTATTCTTTAAATGTTCATTGGTCTCATTCATTTGTTTTCCTGGAAACAGGATAAACGATAATTGTAAATTATCACCATCAATAGTTCAATGGTTCACCATAATTCAATGTTTCATCTCATCAATTGACTGTCAAAATATATAATACTAATTAACTCTTTCATTTAAACCATTCTGCTTGTTACTAAGCGAGTTATATATATATAATATTGTTTATGTAAATGTATACAATTCAATATTATATTATTATTAATTACTTGGTGTGTTATTAATACACTTTATTGGATGGAACCTATTTTGCTGATTGTTGATAGGAACCCGCCTTCAATGATGCCGGTGATAAAATGGTAATCAATGAGCAAAAGAAAGAGCTAAAATAATTATATATGTTTAACCAGCAGCTTAATTGGATCAAATTGTGTGGTTCAATTAGATAATTATGTTAACAATCAACACAATCAAAAACATGATAGGGATCCATAGTTTTTGCGCTCTTGTAAATCCATCAAGGTGATTTAGAGTTGTTGTTGTTATCACTCTGTTACTAATGTAGATCAAGTTAATTGTTGATTGTGTTGTTGATGAGTATGAAACATTGAGAAAATGGGAGAATTTTCTTAATTGATTGTCTGGTAAGTTGACGTACATTTGTGATTTAGGATATTCTGTGAATTTGGTTTCCATTAATTCGGGTAAGGTGAGGGTTGCCTGAGGTTCAGCTGAGATTCCCATCAATCTTGTTTTTCGAGGTTGATTGGGTTTCGATGATAAAGTAATTGGTCGAGGGACACCAAAAGAATCAACAACTTGACTTCGTCGGGAAGAGCCAAAGGTAACAATTGATTTGTAGATATCCAATTGACTGCGAATCTCTCGGATTTCATCATTCTTTTCATCAAGAGTCGCTTTCAAATTCTCAATCAATTTAGCCTGAGATTTACACAAAGCTTGAAGATCAGTTGGCCTACCATTGATCGTAGATCCATCCAATAAATCACCGCCATCATCTTGCATCGTACTACTAACATCAGCCATGACCATATTAACACTTGAATCAGACATTTCTTGCGAAATAATAAAAACAAAGTTTAAACCAAAACAAATCCAAATATTGGCCTGATGATGATGACTGTAGATTTAGAGTATAAGGAGAGATGTTGATTACCAATAGAAGTAGTTTTAAAATGGCGATTAGGTTACAGAATCAAGGTAAGAATTAAAAGAAAAGCAGAAAACAAAATAACAACAAGAGAAAAGGAAAAATTAATGTATCAGTTACGTCGCATTGAAGGCACTTAACAACAACAAAGAGACACAATAACTATTCCCAGAGAGAGAATTGGATCATTGGGAGAACAAGTTAAACACCAATAATATATAGTAGAACATTAATTTGATGATGGAAACATAATTGTGATGAGAAGAAAAATTGTAAACAACAAAAAACAAAGAGATGATTATAAACAACAATTTATTTTCCAATGAAAACGTAAGTGTTTTTTTCTCAATAATTGTAACTCGATTGAACAAAAACAAAAACAACAACAAGAGAAAAACAAAATCACCAAAAGAAAATTACTAAATTGTCTACATCTAAGGTATCAGTTACTCTTAGATTGATTTATATTCCAACGCAAAGTCAATGATTATCTAATATAATCATTTAATTATCTCAATGAAGAGAATTATAAAAAAAAATCAAGAGCAACATTAGAGCTTCAATTTCATACAATTAACACAAAAACGTTTCCAATGTTAACTTATCATAATCATGGAATTGCGATTGTGGTGCCATCTGTTGTTCTCAATTAAAACTAACCAGGCAACGAATTGATTGTTGAGCTTAAATTGGAAAATTAATTGTGAATCATTTTCGATTGATGGTTGATTTGGTTTGGTTTGATTTGATTTTGTTGGTTTTCATTTGGGTTGTTTGATGGTTTGCCTTTGTCATCATTTTCGATTGATGGTTGATTTGGTTTGGTTTGATTTGATTTTGTTGGTTTTCATTTGGGTTGTTTGATGGTTTGCCTTTGTCTTGGTGGTTAATTGGTGAATCTTTTATTGGATTGAAAGGATTGGGGTAATTAATGTTGATTAAGATGATTAGTTTAATCAGTTTGGGTTTTTTTTCACCTTCATATTTATCATCTTATTATATTAAATGATTTCATGATTGGTTTTGATATTGTTTTAGTTGTAATCAAAGTTCAAGAGACTTTGAGACTTGGAGATTGAAAATAATTAAGCTTTTTTTCCTGTGAATATCTCAATTAATTAGCAACAATTTAACTGTCATGTTGATTAAATTGATCATGGTTTCAGTCTTGTTAATGATTCAATTGTGTTTTGCCAAACTTTATGAAAGATCAGTAAAGATAAGAAATACAATTAGCTTGGCAACAAATCATTTTGCTAATTGTTGCTCATTTAATTTTAATCATATCAAACATTTCCAAAATTAGAGACTTGATTTAACTCTAATTGTTCACTGAGGTTCAAGAGTTGATTTTCCAATGAATTTTCAATGAAACCTATTGAAACAATTAAAAAACCTTCATAATTATATTATGGGCTCTGTCTAAATGAATAAGTATATCTAATTGTTACGTAGTTAATTGTTCATATCAGTTATTTACAATGCTCCAAACGCCTATGAAACAATTAACAGTAGAAGATAATTGTTGGCAAAATGTGAAAAGATGCCAAGATTTTCACCGAAATAATCATCTAAATTTCCCTGAGAATTAATTGATCAATCAATTGTTACTGAATTAAGATCCACCAATTCAATTTAGTAACAATCGACCATAAGAAACAATCAACTAATTACATACATAGTCCAATCATCAAGAGAATCAGTAACAAAAGCACAATTAAGAAATAATCACAAATCAATTGTTGATTAATTCAAAGATCTTAAATTAACCATAAAATATAAATTCTACTTTTAATTAACTCAATGTCCACTGATTGTCCAGTAATTTTAACTTCGGTCAATCAACTGATTAACATGAAAAAAACATCAAAATGAATTGAATTTTCACCATATTAATACTCTAGATATTCAACTGATTCACATTTCAATTCTTAATCTAATCTCATGTTAATCATAAAACAGAATTGATCAAAATCGATTACTAATAATATTGAACGAAATCAATTAAATTGATTCGATTAATTTTCTGATCATTTTTGAAAAACGCGCTTCAACCACCAAGAAGTTAAAGTTTGTTAAATGATAGAAAAACAATTTAATCAAATGCTAAGAGCCTCAGAAAAGCTTAATTATTCAAAAAAGTTTAATCTATTAACCAACATCCAATACAATTAACTTAAATGATCAAAATCTTAAGTTGATTTCAAATTAAATTTCAACAAACAAATTTTTCTGTCACCAGATGTCACAACCGTCCGAAAATATAAAAAAAATGACAATTAAAATTGACTTTTTAATTGTTCCCTCCTAATCATTGTTCAAGTCTTAACTGAAAGAATCTCAAATGACAATTAACTCCTGGTTAAAGACTTCCATCAAACCAATAATCTTTGAGGATTAAAGCTAAATAGATTTTCTAATGGTACAAACTTAATTGCTTACGATTAATTGATCATAAGTAATTAACTTAATGACCAGTTTTGAGGTTGAAATGATAGTTTTAAGGTTGATCAATTAATCAAATTGAAATAATATTTTTAATCAGTTTGTATGAAGATGCGTTTGATTTTAGGCTTTGCTTTTTAAAATGATCAAACCTTTATACAGGTTCAAGTAAATTGTATAAAGGGGATTACATTTAGTTTGATTGTGGGTGAATTTTGATAAAATTTGTATTATATATTATAATTAGTTAATTGTTGCGTCTTAATGGTCATCACTTTGAAATAATTCCATCAGCATATTGAAACCATTGACATCTTTTTCATTCTGTTTAACGGTTAAAGTTTCTCTGGCAACTTGACAAACTTTTTCCAATTCGAGTAAACGTAAAAGTAATTCACCAAATTTAGATTGATGTTGAGGATAATTACAAGCCGAATATGTTTGAAGTGCTTCCATAATCTGTTTCTGTAGTTTGTCAACCTTTTCTAGCTCTTGAAGTTCACTTGCATCTATGAGAGAGAGAGAGAGAGAGAGAGAGAGAAAAGAAAATCAATTAATAACAATGAATAAATTAGTAGGAAATTTCATCTCCTTTCATTGATTCAAATAAGATGGACAAGTAAGTTGACACTTTTAGTTACCTGATGCCATTAGAATTATGATTTTAAGACAAACGTATTCACATTCGTCCACCTGAAGTCGTCTCAAGTGATCTGAAAGGTAGATCATTTTTTGTATTACATTATTGATTCCTAGAGTTCGAGCTTCTTCAATTGTGATCACTTGATCGGACGATATCTTAATGGAACCTGGAGTTGCGATTGACCGATAGCAACAGCTGAGCAAAAGAAGTTCAATCCATGAATTGTGGAGTAAAACAACTCGATCATCAAATGAGATCTCTTGAAATAAAGGTAAACTTTTACACCATAGAACTAATTTGTACAAATGATGATCAGCGATTCTACAGAAACTGTTTTCAATATCGCTCGAAGTCACTTCTTTATTTGTTTCACTGGTCACGTTTTCACTATAATAACGATGATTTGTTTTACTTAAATCGCACGTTTTAGTTTCACTCAGCGTCCTGCGCCAATGATGTTCAGCGGATAAAATTTCCTTGATTAGTCCACTTATTTTCGGAGGTATAATTGGACTGAAAGTATTGGAGCCTGAGGCGGAATCGCTTGAATCGAGAGTAAACTTTTCATTATTTACTCGATTGGTTATTTCGTTTCCATTGTTTGTAGTTAAACTAAAATTTACTGGTGAATCGCAATTGATTGATTTTAAATCATTAGACATTGGCAACCATTTTGTTTGATAATAATTTCGAGCATCGTGACTACTGTGTCCTACTGGTTGGCTCATCATCATGGCACTTGCAACACTTCCATTGTTTGTAGTTAAACTAAAATTTACTGGTGAATCGCAATTGATTGATTTTAAATCATTAGACATTGGCAACCATTTTGTTTGATAATAATTTCGAGCATCGTGACTACTGTGTCCTACTGGTTGGCTCATCATCATGGCACTTGCAACACTGTTTGATTGTTGAACTCTCATGGTATTATTATCAGAATGAACAACAGAATTTAAATTATTACAATTGGCAAATCCATAGTTTGGATTAATTGTTGTCGGTGAAATTGTATAAGTACATTGATAGGTACTTCGACCTCCTCGAGTTCGATCCTCCCTGATTGCTTCCAATTTCATTCCCATGCGAAGACACTTCTCAAATCTACAGGCAGGACACTTTTTTCGAGTATCTTTGGTTATCAAACAATTCGCACCTCGCAAGCAAACATAATTTTTCTTATTTTGTACTGTTCTTTTGAAAAAGCCTTTACACGATTCGCACGAAAATAGGCCATAATGGAAACCAGAGATTTTATCACCGCAAATTGGACAAGGGCCGGATAGTAACTGTTGGCGACTGTAACCTGGACTCAATCCAATTCCGGGAAAATCAGCTGACACCATTGAATCACTTGAAGCTGTATTGGCATTTAACTGTTGGCTTTGATTGATATTTGGTACAACAGAATTTTGATTAGAATTGATTAGTTTGTTTCCACTAGAATCTTGTTGACGAGGTGTTGATGGTGAAGCAAAATCACTAGTATTTGATTCATCAGAAGCTGATGATGCTAAAGATGCTGATGAAGCAGCTAAACAACAAGGGGAAATAAGAAGAGCAGATAAAATATATTAGAGATAAATGATAATTAATGAGTCATAAAACCGTTATAATGATGAACGTTTTTCTTTTTTTTTCTTCTTCTCTTGATTTTACCTGTTAACCTGAGATCTTGCAAAGAGCGAGATGGAAGTTGGTCAATTGATATGTTTACAGGTCGAAAGTTTGGTAAACCAAGGGCAGATTCGTTCATCGAACCTCGTTTCTTTCGATTACCACAGGAAGAGATATATTGAAAAGGAGAACAACCTAAATTTGAATTCGTGTTATTTTCACCATTGATGATCATTGATGGTGTTCGAGGAGATTCCATCTCTTCATCCATAACGGAGTCCATTCCAGACTCGATTGAAGTCGATGGCGATATCACAGATTCACGATTTTGATTCTCACTTTCGTTACATTTTCCAGACTGACCAGTGGATTGTAACTGATTACCCATATTCTTATTACTATTGCCATTGGTCCTCTTTAAATTATCTTCACAATTTGAAGCGGATGATTTAATTGACGATTGATAAACATGATGAGAATTGGCTAAACTTAACAATAAAGATGCTTGAGACAAATTGTCATCATTGTATGTTGACTGAGTTGATCTAAGCTGAGATAGATCAATTGATGGACTTCGACGCGTCGTAACTCCCGAAACTGGGGCTAAATTATTACCATTTACAGTAGATAACTGATTAGATCCTCGGGTCTTATAAGATTCGGCCATAACAACATCACAATCGGACATTTCAGCGGCAATTGTATTAACTGAATGACGACGACCAAAGTTACCACCAAAGGTGAGAAAGTTGATACAAACTCGGAGCAAGTAAAGCACTGGGTAAACTACTACGATGACGATGGTCACGATTAAGAATCATTGGTGATAATCCCATTTGAGATGAAGTAGATTGAGACCTTTGGCCTTTAAGATATTTACTATTGTTACCATCCATTACCTTAGACAGTGCAAAGATGATGAGAGAAAGTGAGAAGAGTCAGAATAAGGAAGATAGAGAGAAAGAGAGAGAGAGAGAGAGTAATTGAGTGAGATAGTGAAAAGAGGCAAGAATGAAGATTGATGATAACGTTCACATCCAAATCAATCTTTTATCTGTGGAGAAAAAGAAAATGAGAAAACCATAATTCCATTAGTAATCATAATATAATATGGAGAAAATAATCTAAGTCAAACAATTAGAATGATAGATAAGCTGGAAGATGAAGACAATTTACGTAAAAGAGAAAAGATAAAATTCTGAAAAATCACCAGAAGAAACATGGAAAAAGATTACTACTCATTTGGAAATACTCGATAATTTGCCTCAGGCTAATCATGTGGATTAAGAGATGATAACGATTGTTTTAGAGGAGAGAAAATGAAAAGCTCAGATGATAACATGATGGTGGAAATTGCTGAGTGAAAAATTGACTGGGTGAGGCAAAATCTCTGGCTGAGGAATGGTAAATATCTGCTACCTGTTCAACAGATTATTCAGATTCTGAAAAGGGTGAGGCAAAGATGATGATGGTGATGGAAGGGAAAATGATTCATGATGAATGCAAATCTCATCTCTGATTCGGTTACCTGTGATTCTGGGGGAGAGAAAATTGTTCCAACTCATTTGAAAGGTGATTCTTTCGGTGGAAGAGCCTTGACCCATCAGGATATTGAAACTTCCAATGTTATCGGTCATTCGGATCAATTCCAGAGTTTGGTGGTGGACACAGAGACTATTTGACCAATCGAATTACAATTGATCCATAATTAACTCATCTCGATAACTTCTTACTCCTTTTGGCAAAAGATTCTTGAGACTAATTAGATAGAGATCAAGAACAATTGAATTGAATCAAATTCTATTCCAGTTAAAGACAATTTTGTTGATCAAATTCACAATAATTCATATGAATTATTCACAGGTGAGTAATATGATTTTCCAAATAACCGATTCGGTTGATTTCACTTTTAATTTCACTGATTAATTGTTCATCTAAAACATGGATGATAATTCACTTGTTGAAAGCTGAGAATTGATTAGTCTCTTTTCTCAGGTCTTTTAGGTTATTTGACCAGAGATTTTCTGGTCATTCAGATTTTTCCATGAAAAAGCTTCATGACATCAAGATTATTATGTCAACAAATTCAAAACTCATATTCGATCATTGAAATTATCGATTATTATCGATGATCGAAAAAAATTGATGATTGAAAATCAAACATCGATTTTTTCGTCTCTCTCTCTTTTCCTTTCTTTCATTGTAATTGTCTTAAAGTTTATTTGATCACTTGATTGTCGAGTTAATTGTGAAATTAGAAATGTTATTTTGTTTAAAAGTTTAGTTTCTTTAATAATCGGAAATTAATTTAAGGCATATTGGTGATGATGATGATGATCAGGTGATTGTATCAAAATAATTGTGTTCATTTGAGAAAGAGAAAGAAAATTATTAAATTGTTGATGATGGTTAGAAAATATTTACACTGGACAATTTAAATGGAAAGTGATTAACTAGTTTAGCTTGGATTGATTGTTTTCGATTGCTGATTGTTGATTATTGAGTTCGACAAGTGTCTCGACTTTTTTTACTCCGTTTTTCGGCTGTCACTCGTCGTTGGCCTTGGACGGGTTGGTAGCCAATGTAATTGTTATCATCAAATTGTTCGGCTTGTAAATTGTTGTAATTGGTTTCGTTTATTGTCGGTTGTTGTTGTTGTTGTTGTTGTTGTTGAGCGTTATTTTTATTAGCGGGTGGACTTTGCGAGGATGATGAACACGGAGATACTCGGCATAGTTCAGCGAAATGGACACCGGTCAAATCGGCTACATTTTCGGGTTCTACCTTTTTACTTGGTGTCCCACTTGTCGGTTGGCGTCTTTTGTACGTTGGGTCGAGGTCCATTGCCACATTATGGAAACTTGGGATCGGTGGTAAGTCACGTTTTGCCAAATCATTAGCCTCTGGTGAGATATCATGATAATTAGTTTCATTATTGTTAATTGAACAACTTGAATGGTTCATATTGGTTAATGAAGTTTCTTCAATTGCTAATTCATGATAACTTTGTGTTAATCCTCCTCTTCCTCCAAGTTGCCTTGACCTCTTATGGTTGGTTGAATCTATTCTTTCTCTTGAATAATAATGACCACTACTATTACTACTTTTAATTGTATTAGACCCAAGGGAAGTTGCATCGTCATGCTGATTAATTTTTCCATTAAAAATTAGGTTACCCTCTTGATCCACTTTTCTCATCCTTTCTCGTTCCAATTTAGCCTGACGAGCACGTTCACGGGCACGTTTGGCTCTGGCCTTTTCCTCTTCCTGTAAAATTCGTGCAATCTCATAATCTTGAGCTTCAATCCACTCTTTCTTTTCCTTGGCAATGGCCGCTTTCCGTTGGGTCTCATATTGATGTAAAAATCGAGCCAATTCTTCATCTTGTTCGGCCATAAATTGTGACATCTCCGCTTCAGTCAAACCAACCGGTGGTTTTAAACACAAATCTGACAGATAATCTTCAGTTAAACCCGATGAATTTGATGTCCCAGCAATTGGGTTAACAAGATCACCGAAAATCTCAGCATCATCCATATCAGCGATAGTCCGATTAACGGCATCCAAAAGGTCCGGATTCATGGAACCAAATTTCTCTAACCGAATCTTTTCAACCTGTAACCTTTCCCGTTGAACTTTCTTCCGTTTAAGTCGCTCTTTCTCCTTCTCCTGAAGCCTCTGAGCTAATTTTTCATCCTCTTCAACAATCAAATTCAATTGTTCAGCCTTCCTCCTTTCTTCATCAACCAAAGCTTCCTGTATCTCTTTGGCTATCCTCTCATCTTCATCAGCAACTCTCTGCCTTTCTCTCTCAAACTCAATCATCCTTTCATATTCCTCCTTCTCTTGAATGTATCTCGCCTTTTCGAGGTCACTTCGAAAAACTTGATTCTTGAAACGGTTACCTTCATAGAATGAGTTAACTAGATGATAAAGAAAAAAGAATAGAAAATAAATAACAAGTTAGCCTATTGAACAAAAGGAAAAGGAAACACACAAAGAGCATTAACTTTACTTTCTTCATCTTGTAACCTGTAAGCGATTGCATTATCCTCCCTCACAAGCCATTCCCGGCAAACTGAACACAGAAAAGGTAAACAAATCAATTAGCTGAATTGAGTTAACAAAGTCACAATCATCTCTTACCTTGATTAACTTTACCCTCAGGAATGTCTTCTTCAGTTAGTCCAGCATGGGCCATGGTTCAAATCCAGGGTAAAATGGACACTTTGTTTTACTCATTAAAAGTTGTCACTTGAAAAATGAAAATTTACACAAATTGAGGTAAACAGAATCACCTTTTCCTTTTTGCTTTTACAAAGGTAACATTCTGATACTGTTTACATACGAGAATTAAGTTTAATTGATCACAGAGAGAAACAAGATGATTTAATTAAAAACATTTTTTCAAAATTGTCACAGGTAAAGAAAAACAATCAACAATAATAATAAGAAAAGGTTCAACTTTTGTTTACATCAAGAAAATGAGAAAACAACAACACCAACCTTGAGATTAAGACGATGATGACTGAGAATTGTAATTAAAGTTGATGCTGATGATTTAGTGTTAATTGTAGAGGTTGTTGGTTCGCCTGTTGATGATCTTCAACACAATCAATCAATTAGAGAATTAAATTACCTGGAGAGAGAATTAAATGTGAAAAGGATTAACCTGTAACCCGCAAGGGATGAGAAGCAAAAGAAACACTGAAGAGGAAAACAAAGTGCATAGAAAAAGAAAGAGAAGAAAAGAAAGAGAAAAGTTTAAAGTAAGAGGAAAAAGAGAGAAGAAAAAAAGTAAACATTAAAGAAGAGCAACAATTTAGAAATGGAACTTGATTGTTACTATTAAGGTGAACAATTTAATTCGCAACAATTTAATTGTGATCACTTAACATGATTACGATTACGATTTTGGTTAATGTTAACTTGAATGTTCAATCAACTTGAAACAATTAAATGTTAGTATTGTAATAAACTTTATTTAATTGTGTTGGTTTTAAATTTTCATTACAATTTATTGGGTCTCATCAATTTTACCTTGAATTTAATGATTGTTACTTAAATTAGTTGACGACTATTAAGCTAATTGATTATCTCCTTATTGAATTAGGGTAACAATTTAATTTGTTCACATTTTCAACTCATCCCATTGATAAAAGATATTCAATTAATCACAATTAAATGATCAACATTGAACATGACAATGATTAAAGGGACAATCGTTACAATTGATTATCTTTCTGATTGATTTCAAGTTTTTATTGATTCTCCTTGTTAATTTAATATACCAAAGGTAAGAATTGATTATAATTGAAATTTTCTGATTAACTTACTAATTGCTGATTTCTAATTGATTCAATGTTAACAATCAAATTAACTTGAAGATATGAAAAGTGATCATCTGGATTGTTTTTAATAATAAATAAATTTTGAGGTTTAAATTGTCCAAATTATGATTAACAATCAATCAATTATGTGATATTTGTAAATTATGACAATTTATTAATATTGGATTGATTTAAATTAATGACTACAAATTAATTTCTAATTGTATGAGATGATTAATGTTATATGATTGATATTAAGGCAACAAATTGTTGTCATGATTAATTGTTTGTATATATAAAATGATATTAGGATTTAATTGTGTGTCAAAATGATTCTTAATCCAATATGATTAGTTGATTTTGCAATAATTGCCACAATTTTGTTAATGATTTTTGAGCATTTTTTTTTCTTGATCACAATAAGTTAAATAATGAAGTTGATTGTGAATTTGTTGATGTTGATGATTATGTTGATATGATTAAGAATTAATTGTAACCCAAATAGCTGAAAGTTGAATGTTGATTGTGAAGAAAATGAAACAGGAAGAATTACTTTTTTTCCCTTTATAAACCTCCGATTAAATTGTGATGAATTAAGAAAAGTGATTAACATCCAAGGTCTATGGGAATTCATATGTAGTAGTATTTAGAAGGCTCGTTGATTGAATGTTATAAGAGAGCAATCAACAAATAGGCAGAAAAGAAAAGGGGAAAAATGAATTTACAATTTAGGGAATTGTGGTGGAGAAAATCACAATTTAAATTGTTCCAAAGATTAGAATAAATTGTAACAATTAACTTGTTGGTAAACAATTGGAAAGACACATTAACATGTGAAAATGAAGTTATCAAGAGTCGATTTTATCTCTTACTGAAGATGCGAAATTAAATGTTCAACAATTAGGAGCAATTGGAAGAAGATGAAGATAATTAACAGAAGAAATTAACAAATAGAATTAATTAACAATAAACAATTGGGATGATTAAAAGATTGGATTAAATTCCGTTGGAGAAAAATTTACTTGGTAAGATGATGGATGTTGCCGTTGGTCGTTGGACCGATGATGGTCTTGGTGAGGTTATTGATTTCGATGGTGAACTTGATAGTCGGAAAAGTGACCTTATTGCCGTGCGAAATTTGCGACTTAGTATAAAATGAATGATTGGATTCATACCAGAATTAACTACACCCAACCAAATGGCGAAATTGTGTATTGGTGCCAGAAATTGTGTACACTCGGAGCAGAGACAAATTATCGTTGACACTATGAAAAACGGAGCCCAACAAACAATAAACACCAACATGATTAGTCCAAGGGTGAAGGACAATTTATGTTGTATCATTAGCGCTGAGAATCTTGATATTTCCTTGGAATCAGAATCACCACCACCACCATTTACAACGGTTCCATATTCGGTACCACCGCCAGTGTCATAATGAGCGATAAAGTTTAGTTTTGTTTTGAATTTTGATCGACGTCGTTTAAGCGTTAAACTTGCCAATGCCAATCGATATGTTCCAACATTGAAACTGATCATTAAAATTAAAGGTAAATAGAAGATGAGAAGTAGAATGACAACCAGAATCTCTTTACCATGAAGGAAATCGCAAATCGCTGAGTCTTCATCATGAGTTCCAATACAAGCGTAATCAATGATATGTGGTAACTTGACAATGACCAAAGTGGAAAACCAAACCAGTGCGATGTTTATGTTCACTTGGCGAGTGGTCAGTTTACGGGAATAGCCGATTGGCTTGCGAATCGCCATGTATCGGTCCATGGATAGAACGGTCAGATTAAAGATGGAGGAGATAACGGAAATTTCTTGGAACAAAAAAAGAAGATGATATTTAGCAATCTCCAGGATGTTCAAAGGTATCACGATAACGCCGATGGTCAAATCGGACAAGGCCAATGAGATGATGTACCTGTTGGTTGATTTGGAACCGAAACATTTATACTTGAGGGCGACAATTATTACCAATAGATTACCGATAATTATTTCCAAACAAATTGAGATTGAGAAAAGATCGAGAACAAAATTACCCGATTCATGGAAATGAGGATAATTAACTTGGGAGAAATTATCAAATTCACTTTCTACATCCATTGTTCAATCTAAATTTGACAGTTGAACTGAATAGAAACAAGGAGAAATTGATTATTGGAATGCAATTAATGCACAATTAACAAGATGATCAACATGAAGATGCTCAATGGATACAATTTACACCCAAAGGAAGATAAAATTTCCCATTCAAGAGTAACAATCATCTGGAAATTTAATTGGAGTCTATGGAAGATGAGAAAACAAATTATGGGAAGATGAGATGGTGATACGATTAAGGAGGAAACTATCAATTCAGGCTAATTGTCAAGACCATCCTTAATTGTTATTGTTGTCTGGTTAACAATCAACTAACCATCGTTTTCAATTTCTTCAATTTTATGTTAATGTTTTCCATTCATTTTTGTGGCCTTGTTTTTACTCGTTTACTTGGTGGGACAAATCACTTCATTGGACTGGTTAATTGTTCAGCAGTTCTTTGTACAATTAGCTAAATTAATTGTGTTCTTGGTCCTTTCTTTTTACAGTTCAATCATCGCTAGAAATTAGATTAATTATGAGTTGAAAAATCTCTGAGTTCTCATTGACTCGACGAGTCGACTTACTAAGTAATTGTAATTACTTAATTGTTTTAGGAGATTTTTGTTTATAATTCAAATATACAATTTATACAATAATTAACTAATCAATTTTATAGACAAGGTTTTGGGATTTGATTGTTATATATCAATCATTTGTTGTTCCGTGAATTGGTTTAATCAGAATCACTTTGATCACTTGCATAGGGAACCAAACTTTTAATTGTTGATTGTGATGAACCAGCAATTGGTTTGATTAAAGAAATTCCTAATTTTTTCTCATCAAGCGAAATATCTTCCTCTTCAACTTTCTTAATTGCTAATGATTTAGCAATTTCGATAAATTGTTTATTCAGATTACTATTTGATTTTGATTCTTCTGATGATTTAAATATTGATTCGGTTACGATTCGGTTTCGAGTTGATTCCTTTCTTTCTTGAAAAGCTGAAAACAAATTAACAATTTAGATTAGTATTCAATTGATTATAAGGTTGTTTAATTGTTACTCACTTTCTGTTGGTTCTAATCTAATTAGCGATGAAAGCTTAACATCGTATGATGATTCGGGCAATAATTTAACTCCAATTGATAATTTCTTAAGAAGAGCATCATCTTTGTCCTTTTCTGTTTTATCCTTTGATTTTTGTGTCTATTTTGAGAGGAGAGAGAACCAAAATTAAGACCATTTCCATTTCCGTATTGCATGAAATTGAAATTTACCCTTAAATGTTTTCGCAATTGTTGATTCGCTGAGAAATCGTCTCTCCATCTATCTTGAAAATCTTGTAATTTATCAATAACCGGAGCCATTTGTTTATTTTTCTCCAAATCTTCCGAATCATGTTCCAGTTTAAACATCGCATCAGTTGCCATTTTCTTAATATCATCTTTATCCTCGGTGACAATTTGCCCATTTTCACTTGGATCCCAACGGTTCTCTTGCCTTCGAGCACCACAAACAATAACATAATCACAATTAGCAGGATCTGTTTGAATCTCGAAATGATTATCACACAAATGACATTTCATTCGGAACTTGTAAATAGGTGTAGTCAGGTACATTCCAACTTTACTCTTCTCAGCATTATATCTAACACCCATTCCAACATGATTGTTACAACCACCACACCAGATATTATAAGGTAACTCGAATCTGAGGAAAAGAAAACAACAATTAAAATAGAGAAAAGATCGATCAAAACAGAATGAGAACAAACCGAATGATTAATATTCCTTGGTCTAATTTTCGAGCTCTTTCTCTCAATGGATGACTATTTCGATACTTGTTGACACTTCGATGTTTAACTGGATCAAAATCCGATGGAATATATTTATTAGTAGCTTTTCGTTCAGCCTGTGAAAGAGCAAACAATCAACAACAATCATAAGAAAAGAAAAGAGAAAATCAAATCTCCAATATTAGTCTTTAAATCACAAAAAGAATACAAATTTTCAAAGAATTGAATCACTTACCATTTTAAAACGAATTAATTGTTACTCGACCAACAAGAAATTAACGAAATAATCAATCAAATAACCATCAGAAAATCACCATCGGGGTAAATTAAATTATGAGACAAAATCGATTTGTAAACAAATTCAATCAGCTGATTTAATGTTTTCTTTTACTCAAAAAGAAGCGGTAAAAGTCATTCGGTTCAAATTTTAATTCTCGTTAATTTTTGTGATTCCAACGAAATTATCAAAAGTCGACTAATAATAGTAACCAACTGATCTAAGGGCAACTTTAAATAGCAATTAATTAATGACAATGGAAATTCACTGATCCCCAATCAACGTCGTAATTGTTTACGCAGTTAATTTATATACGAAGAAATTAAAAACATTTGATCACAATTAGTAGCAAACAATGTCTAAAATCAATCAAATTAGATTTGATTTGATTTTACATGAGATGAGAAGGTTAACCAAAAACAATGGTGCTAATTGTTAACTATGCAAAACTTGTGAATGGAAATGAAGATAATCAATTTATATTTCAATTCTAAGTCCTGATATGATAATTGGTGTTAATTTGTTTTCGACGAACAATTAAAACAACAATGGAAAGAACAATGTTCTGACAATTAGATTGACAATTAGAATCAGGTGAAAATGATATGAATATAATGAACGCTAAATCGTCAGCAATTAAGTATATAAATATGTTGATTAATTTAATACGTTATCTCTTTTACAACTTGGTGCTTAATTGTTACCACTGATCTTGATTAAAATGGATTTAAAATTAGTCTTATTATTTGTTTCCGTTTTCTCACCTTCCTTTGCATTACAATGTAAGGACGAGGATGGTAACGATGTCGATTGGTACGTTGTGTACAAATTACCTCGAGAAAGTGATGAGGACAAACAATCAACTTTGTCGGGACGAACTGGATTTAATTACGCTTACATCACTTCCAATGATTACAAAGATGGACAATGGAAAATTTCATCGAAAACCGTAAAGGACAAAGATTCCCTTTGGGGTCAAACCTTAGCACCCGCTTACAAAGACGCATCCAAATACACTTACGCTCTTTGGAACGACGCTCCATCCAAAGGAAAAGGTTTGTTTCCGCAATTTAGATTGTTACAAGATCTTTGATTGTGACTATTAATTGTTGATCCTTTTTTAGAAAGTGGTACCAAGGCTCATTCCAAGGGAGTTATTGTCATGGATGAATCGACCGGTTTCTACATTGTCCATTCTGTACCCAAGTTTGTCAACACTTTCGACGATTCTTATGATTATCCCGATTCTGGTCGAGACAATGGTCAAACCTCTTTGTGTATCTCTTTCGATACCCAAAGTGAAGGACCTAAATTGGCTTCTCATCTTCTCCTCATGAAACCAAATCTTTTCTCAACCAACCTTGTTGGCGGAATCCCAAGTGAGTCCACCGATTTCACCAACCTTTTCAATCCCAAGTATCGAGCCCCCAAAGACGCACCAAAGAGTTTGGAAACTGAGATCACTACTCTTGGTGGAACAACTTTCCGAGCTTTCTCAAAGAACCCAAAGAACCTCGTTGATTTGTATGGTGCTATTGTCGCTCCCGCTCTTGAAGCTCCACTTTTCGCTGAAACCTGGAGACGAGGTGCTGGTGGTATCTTGGAAAGCGACTGTACCCTCGACTACACCGTCAACAATGTCATGGGCTTAGAAATCAACTTCGATTCATCATCTTCATCAGGAGATTGGCAATTCATCACCGATCACTCTAAATGGGCCATTTCTAGCGACGATTCAAAGGCCACTTACACTTGCGTCGGTGATGTCAACCGAATGGCCTCACAAGCCAAACGAGGAGGTGGAACTCTTTGTTTCGACAACAAGAAAGTCCACCAAGCTTTCCGATCGGCCATTAAAGTTATCGAACCTTGTAGTGCCGATGCTAACGGCGAATCACATTCGACCGCCGTTAAGGAAGGTCAAGAAATCTAAATTGTTTTCTCTTACGACGATTTGATGACAAGAAGCAATCAAAAATTAATCTTTTCTTGATTTACTTTTTGTAATCATCAACAATTTAAACTAATCAATAAACTTTCAAATCTTCAATAGTACAAAGTAATCAATTGATTCGGAAACAAGTTCATTAACAATCTAATAAATTCGTGCAGTTGATTACAAATCGCCAACCAAATTAAACAATCGAGACTCAACTAATCATTACAATTAAAGAAAATCAAATTGAGTTAATCAAATTTCCTGCCAAATGAAAACACAATTAAAATTCAATTGAATCGGTTGATTGGAAACAAAGCAAATATGAAAGACTTTTTTCCAACTATCATGTTGAGATAATGATAATTACCAGTTAATAGTCAACAATTAACAGGGAAAAAGACTCATAGAGACACAGAAAAGATACCAGGGAGATAGAGAGGGAAAAGAAGATGATAAATTAAGGGGGAAAAGATGATAGGAAGATAAGTTTGAAGGAGAGTTTAAGTTAATTACATGAGACTGGTGATTCCATTGAACAACAATTTAATCTGCAATCAAAAGCCTTGATTTTTTTATATTTTTTTCTTAAAATTCACCACAATTAATACTTACAAGTGTATCGATCACAAATCCAATTACAATTAAAACTAATCATGATTCCATCACAATTAAGGAAATACCTTTTAACTGCAACAATTAGTAAGTAATCAATTGACTTTAAACACCAACAATCACTTGACATTAATCATGTTTACCTTTGATTTTTTATTCCTTTGCTAATTAACTGAACATTATTCATCACCACAACAATTAAGTGCTGCTTGTAACACTCACAATCATCACCAGTGGTAAGTTAATTGTGATCAATTGATTGGACAATACTAATAACCTTTTGATTGTTGTCTTTTAATACAGTAATTGGAGCTGAGGTTGATGGGACAATTAGTGATGATCAACCAACGGAAAAACCTAAATCATATTCAATCATGGGTTGGCTATTTGGTGCCTATGCTGTTTTGTTAATTGCTTTTGGTTCATTGGGTTGTATGGGAATTGTTTATAATTGTGTTAGTCCCAAATGAGATGATTAATGATCAACAATCAACAATCAATTTGTGCCAAACTCAAGTGATCACCTTTTTTGTTTATAATCAATTGTGATTGAGGAAAATCGGATCCAGTGTGTTAATTGTTTGACCACAACAACGTTAATCAAGGATAATTCAGTCCAGAAAAAAAGAGTTAATTATTTGTCGTATTACATTTTCATACCTTTAATTGTTTCATTTTAATCATAGTTTTCCCATTGATTGGATGTTCACAATGTTTACATTGTATTTATAATCAAGTCTCAACAAGAATAATAATCAAATTGATTAATAATTGATCACCAACATTTTGGATTCTTTTGTTTTTCCTTACAATTAATAAATTCAATTGTTGAAAATTAATTCAAGGTTTTTCATTTGCACTCAGTTGTTTTCAATCAACTTATTTGAACATCAGGGTACAACAATTAACTGGATAATTAAGATCTAAATGAAGCTAGAAAACAAATTAGAATACAATTTGATTGGAAAGACACAGAAACAAATATTATTCATTTGATTGATTATTAGTTGATCAAGTTAATTGTTCATCTAGAATAAGATGAATGTCGTTCAATTGTTTGAAATTAAATGTTTTATATGAATGAGAAGGAGGAGAAATGAGGATAATTAAAAAAAAGGAGGATTAATAAGTAAACCTTGAAAATGAATGGTAAAAGTGATGGGGAGGAGGTGGTTAAGTTAATTGCGATTAATTTGGTTGTTGTTTTGTAGGCCAAGTTGATCGTAATTGAAAAAGTTCAAGGGCTGGGCTCATTTTAACCTCGAATCAGATATTTAGGTGATCAATTGAACTGAATTACCCTTGATTCAACCCATATTGACCTTGTAACATGGTTAGTTAACCTGAATTAACTTAAATCTTCCTGATTGTTGATCTTGGCCTAATAAATGAAAGTAAAATAAGTCGATTGTAATGATAATGAGGTTTTTGACTCTTCTCTTAACTCAATGTCACTTAGTTGTAACACTTTCTTTTAAAAATAAACCTAAATTTATATATAACTCAATGCAATTTGAATTTAGCCTGAATTACAATTAACTTTCTGATTCAACAATTGCAAACACAAATTGAACAACATCTCAACAATAATTAATCAATTGGTATCGTTATTTGTAAGTTAAATTGATTGATCAATTTGTAAACTTGTAATTTGAATAAAACACAAATTATAACAAATATTTGTCGATTCCCAATTTTGATGGAGTTGAGTTTGATTGATTAACAAATTGTTGTCGCATTTCAGAAGCTAAATTGTTACAAGAATAGCAAAGATTTTTTGCATTTTGATTATCTTCCTCGGGTGGTAAATTTTTTGACAATTGGTGAGATAATTGGAGTGCATTGGCTGCAGAGCATTTTGATTCCAAATCAATTAAAGACTGTTGAAAAAAACGAGTGAATGATAATTAAAATTAAATTTACAAACAATCAAGTTTTAGATTAATTACCTGGCACATTAAACATTTGAATCCATTTGGGTCTGGATGTTTTAATTTGTTACCAGTTTTGAATATTGTGTAAACTGTTGCAGGAAAATCATGTTCAAGTCCGTTGATATAATTTTCAGTTAATTTTGTTAAACTTGATTTAGTTCCCTTAATTGTGGTGATTGTTGACCATTCAGTGGACTTAATTCCTCTCATGATATTCCAAAAAGTAATCTCTTTTTTGATGAATTCTCTCATTGGCTTGAGAATTTCAACTGAAAATCTATTATCAATGAAAGACTAGAGAGAAAACAATTAGTTAATCAGTTTAAATAACAAGTAGAACTTAATTAATTACATGTTCTGATGTGATTTGACTTCCTTTTCCTAAGGCTAAATCAGTGAACATTTGAATGGCTGTTTTGGTGCTTGTGTTACCAAGGAAAATGTATTTAAAGTTAGACTGGGAAGCAATTTGTTGAATTAATTGTTGCCTAGAAGATTAATATGGAAAATAAATTAGAAAAATTGGAAATCCAATTGGTAATATTAATGACGAAAAGTAATTATACTTGATGATTCTTATAAGATCTTCCTTTCCGGTATCCGTTGTAATACTAACGATTTTATCGGTTAGTTTGGATCGACATTTATCACAATTAACTGGATTCTCTTTGGTATGGTCAATGTAATCACTCAAATTTACAAATTTAGGTAAATCATCTTCTTGGTAAAACATTTCAATCGACGAAACAATAACTGGAAGATTTGATTCAACAAGTTTATCAATAATCTCTTGCTCTTTAGTCCTAATAACGTTGTCATCTTCATTGATGTAATTAAGCTCTAAATTAAAGAAATATGAAAATTAATCGATTAGTAATCAATTGTTCACAATCATCTTATTAATTACCTCTAATGTATAAAATAGTTGGTTGGAAGAGTAATTTTTTATGATCATTAGGTTTGGTTAGTCCATCTTTAATCAAGTCAATCATAGCGGATGAACTTGCTCCTCCAGAGAAAGCGATTAATACCTGATCACCTGGTTTAACTTTCCTTGATTTACCAATTGTCGATCTAAATTTATGTGAACAATATTCATAGAAACAATCCCGACAGAAAACATCCTTTCTTTGTAATACAACAAAAGGTTTTCCTTGACATTTTTTACAATATTGAAGAGAATCCAATCTAATCAATTATCAAAAAAAAAACGAAATTAAGAGAAGAAAATTACAAATTACTCATTAGAATCATGTGTCAATGCAAAGTTCTTACTTTAGTTTTGCTAAAGCAACCGGAATATCATCTTCAAGATTAGAACACATAATTAAATTAATTGAAACAATTAACAATTTAACAAGAAAAACAATCAACAAATGTGAACAAATTAATCCGAACTCGACATTTGGCTCCACCTATCGGAGAAAAAATTACTAATTTGGTTAATTGTTTTTCTTCAAATTTATTCTCATTCTTTTGATTAGTTAATTTATTTCACTGATTAGAATTAATTTGATTGCTGTTTCAATAGTAATTAACAAAAAGAATCTTTAATTAGAAGGTTAATTGTTGAGAAAATAATTAATTCTAAGCTTTGACTCTTTTAGATTTTTCAATGGTCCCTTTTCTCTGTTTGTTTTCTTTTTTTCTGGACTTTGAATTCTTGTCAAATTTAATTGTCTCTTTAATTGTTGTTGTGGTTTTTTAGTCTCAATTTTTTTAAGTTTTGTCAATTGTTTCTTGGTTTCTTGTATCTTTCGCTGGTTTTTTTATCGGTATGGATAAAGGCGAAGGTTTAACTGGTCCTGAAGAAGCTTTGATTCGTTTGGAACAACGAGTTGCTCTCATTGAGAGATTGGTTAATGGATCGAAACCTAATTATGAAGATGATAATAGTTTAGTTGATCCTTTACTTGAAGTTATAACTAAATTAAGAGCAATTACTGCTGGTAGAGAAGACTATTTTAAACTGTATGACACTTATGGAGATTTCATCTATAAATTGGATCAACTTGAAGGAAACATTGAACCTGATTCTGTGAAGTGGGAAAATATTCTGGCACAAGAAGATAAATTAAGAGAAAAAAGTTCAATGTTGGAAGCAGTTGTTTCCAAAAGAGCAATTATCGATTCAACAGCTTTCAAGAATATCGAACCACTGAAGCCACGGATGGAAAAATTAAAAGATCTCGTAATCAAACAAAGTGAAGAAGTGGATAAAGTGAGCCAAGAGACACAAGATCTTATTAGAAATTACAATCAACTGATCACCAGGATAAGGAATAAAATGATTGGCTGGGATAAATCGTTAAGTGTAATGGAATTGGCTAAAAGAAAGTGATTCACAACCAGTTCCATTTAAAGAAAATAAAATCAAATGATTGTTAATAACATAAAAAAATGGTGAAAATGTTTAATTTGATTAGGCGTTGAAAATGATGGTTTGTTGTTTTCAAGCAAACATAATTTAATTTGAATCATCTTCAATAATGTAATGATGTTTATCCTCATCACTCTCATCTTGATTATCCATTTCCAAAGTTCCACATTCCTTAATTAGATTGATGCTCGTTTGTCGATTCCTGAAAACCTCCTGAGAACCATTGAAACCTCCGGACGAGATATTGGGAAAAGAAGAGATTTTCAATAACTCGGTGGAAAAATTTTTCCTCGGCGAGTTCATGACAGAAACATAGGGAAGAATATCGAGAATCAAATGTTGAGAAACCAGAGAAGTTGATTTATCATTAAAGGAGCGTTTTACGATTGATTTGGATTCACGAGTTTTCTCATTGGATAAATGATAAGCTCGATTAGAGACTATCATTGGTGTTCGCTTTGATTCGTGTGAATGGTCAGATTTATTTCGACGATCGTCAAATATTTTCACCTTCACTGGGGCGTTTGGACTTAAATTGAACATTAATCCAGCGATGGAAAGACAAGATTGATACTTTTCCAAAGGAGAATCAGAATCGTAAACATCGTCGCGAATACAATCCCCTTGACTTAACCATTCGATGGTGTTGGCAGCGCTTTCAAGATTCTCGGCATAGTGGAGATAATTTTGATGGAGAAAAAGGTTCAATGTCGAAGGTGATAAATCATACGAGTCACAGAGTAGAAAAGGATTTTCATTAAGATGATGACGTTCGTAACGTAACAAATCCTTGGGTAAAGTTTTTCTCATCGGTTTATCAAAATCTCTTTTGCTGAATAAAATTTTACCAAGAAAATGATACAATTCCAGTGAAGCATCTCGACCCCAAATTACACGAGAATTAGATTCGTTTAACGGGTAACTTTCTGTTCGTGGTTTTTTAGCATTTCGTTTGTAAGTTGATAACGATCGCTGACGAACCAAAGTTGAGCTACATTTAAGCTCAAAACAGTTGAGAATATTTCGTATATCTCCTTTTCCTTCCTCGACAATTGATTCGATATCTTGTTTTGAGATTTTCTTTTCCAATTTATCTGTAAGCCATTTGATTATTCGCGTTTTAACAATCGGATTAAATGTTATATCAAGAACATTAAGTTCGACTTTAAGTTGACTGGGGAAAATTTTAATCGACTCTCGACCAGGATCACAGGAGATTATGAAGACAACAGGAACTCCATCAGAATTAAATTCATTGTAATACCATGTCCATAGTTGGTGATATTTTTCAGGTTCTTTAAGTAGAGTGGAAGGTAAATCTTTGATGATGATTAATCGCTTATTTTTTGGCTTTTTGTTAACAATTGATGTTACATTGGCTTGAACTAGAAAATTTTTCATATTATCAATTTGACTTCGATTATAGATTTGATCTCCATAAGAGTTGTTATTGTCATCCTCTTCAACCGAGAAAATGTCTTTTATAAAGCTCATCTCGACAAATTCTATCGTTTCAATATCTCGTTCCTGGGCAAGTATTTTAATTGTAGTTAATTTACCAGATCCAGAAGGTCCACTGACAATTAGAAATAAATTTGGACCAGATGAACGTTTACCATATAGAGATTTAAACCAACATTCAACATCACTTATTTTCTTTACATTAACTAGCAAATCATTTTTACTTGTAGGCCTTAAGATATCAACGAAGGTGTGACCTTTCTTGTGGTCAGACAGAATCTTTTTAAATCCGGTAACCTGACCAAGTGATTCTGATTCGGGTGGAGATCCATCCAACATCGGCCTCTTCTTGTCTTTGTTCAATGATATCGAATGACATGTAAATGCACCGGCGAATTTATCAACAAACCCTTTACGAATATTCTTTGATTGTTCCATAATTTAAATATACAAACAAACGAACAAACAAACAAAAACAATTTAACTAAATTAACTCATTTAATCAACAAAGGAAACAATAAAATCAATGGAGCAAAATTGTAAACAAAATTAACCGCTACAAGAGATTGAGCTGAGAATAGCTAAAACTGTTATTCTAACAGCCGATTCGTGGAAATAAACTTTCTGCGCATGCGCACATGTGACGATCATTATGAAGAAAAATTTTCTTTTCAAACTCACCAGATGGCGACTCAATCAGCGTTCGAAAAGTTTATCAACTACAGTGATGCCTTTCAAAATGACGCCCTCTCAAAATGACCCATCGTTATGGTAACATTAAATTTGAAAGATTTTTAAGTTTTAACTAGGATTAAATCTCATCAATTTGGTCTAAAAAAATGAAAATTAATAATTTCACTTCAAGTTCAGATTGTTTTGAGGATTATAATTCATAATTATTTGTGTTTAGTATTTTTTTAATCAAAATAATTGATTAATTTCAACCCTTTTGAATGACCCGCTCTACAAATCGTTGTCAACATGATGGGTCATTTTGAAAGGCATCACTGTAAATTAAATTAGTAATTTACTGATTTAAATTATTTCACTTTTGCAACGTTCAATTGAATAATAATGATAATCTTTTTGCTTAGTTCCAAAAGATGCAAATGAATTGAAAACTTTGTTCTAATCATAATTTAGTATTATAATTATCTAATAGTCCAATTAAACTAATAAATTATTTGGAGAAACTTGTGAATCTTGAAAACATGAAAAGTCTTGAATCAAAATGAGAAAATATTGAAATAAAACTAAATCGAAAAACAAAAGTAAACAAGTGTAATTGAGAAGAAGATTAGTTGTAATCATTGAAGAATCGAAAATAATTTCGAGTAGAAATTTAAATTGATTGGAAATGAGGTAAAAATCTGATCGATCATCAATGTCAATCTAAACCATTATTATTCCAATAACTTTCGATTCAAGTATCGATCGAAAAACGAAACTTTTACCTGGACATTTGTTCGAATAAAAGAAAAGGTAAAGTAAATGTTGCGAACTGACCACTTAAAGAGAAAGTGAAGACAAATGATTAGAAACAAAATGTCGGAGGTAAAAAAGAATCAACAAGAAAAGATAAATATATTACATAGGAAAATGATGTTGGAGAAAATAATAGTTGGCCTGAAGACGAAAAAAAAAATAATGGATTTAACATGAATCTCGAACACTACCATTAACTAGAGACAAACTATTCTAATATATAATAGTTGGTGGGAGGAAGATAAAAGAATAAAAGTCAAATTCTATTCTATTTGCTTTTATTTTATTCTCTTTTCCAACAATAAGCTTTTCTTTTCCAAGTATACCTTTTTTACCGTTTCTTTCTTCCTCATGACTTGGACTAATTTACCATTTGGAAGGACAGGTAACAGAAAGAAAAGACCAAAGAAAAAAAGAAAGAAAGAAAGAAGAGAGAGAGAGAGAGAGAGAGAGAGAGACAAAGAGTTAATTAAAGATTAGTACAAGATTCATGGTCTCTTTTAGTTCTTACCTGAGAAGGATAAACTTTGATGGTGATTCTATTTGGAAGACAGCAAAGTAGGAGGAGGAGATGAAAGGGAAGACTAAAAGTCATCATCATTATTATTTTCCTCATCATCATCATCATCATCTCATCTCTCAGCTTACTCACTGTTCCTCCCTCTCTTTTCTTACCAATACCCAGAGCGGTTCGAGATTTTGTCTTCCAGGTAACCAGTAAACTGCTGATGAAGAAGAAGAAGAAGAAGATGATGATGATTAGTGAGCATAGAAAGAGAAAGAAGTTATTTTCATTTTAAAATGTATTTACCAAATTTCTGTTGCTTTGAACTTTCGGGACCCACCTACACCAAATCGTGATCTAAGTCGTGATATCCTTAATTACGCCCTACCTTTGCTATGAACAAACACCCCAACAGTATACAAGAAGTAAACCTTTTCTTTACAGTTGAAAGATGAAGATAAAGATGAAGATGAGGATCAAGATGAAGACGAGAAGATTGACCCGGAACTTTCAGAGAGGTTGGTTTAGTAATGTCAGTTGATTCTCTCTCCTCCCTCTCCTCCTCCTCCTCCACCTCCTTCAACAACAACAACAACAAGTTGAAGTAAAAGAAAATATTTACAAATATAAAGGTAAAAAAAAGAAAGAAAAGAAAGAGAAACAATCAAATGTCCATCTATCTTTTTAACCTTCAACATCAAAGGTGAATCCATTGTTCAAATGTCTTCCTTTATCTTCATCAGTGTATCATCACAATCAGTTGATTGTATATCAGGTTAACATCAATTGCGAATCAATTGTGTCCAAGTCAATCAAATCTCTTTGATTGTTTCAAGTTAATTTGTATAAACAATCAATTAAATCCTAACCCACACACGTACATTATTTGTTGAACAATTTGATATAACAATTAATTAACACACGTTAACACGTTTATTAGTTAATTGTAATTAACTTGTTTCCCTTTAATCCGATCACATTTTCATCTCATTGGGTTAGTTAATTGTTGGTCAATGTTTGTCAATGTCCTTTACCATATGAGTTAATTGTATTAACGATATAACTTTTAATTTTGTGGAAAATTAAATTCACTATATTGTAACAGTTATTGATTGATTGTTGTTGTTTGTTCAAACAATTATCACAATTGTATTTTTAATCATGATTCCGTTTTGTTTTTAAATTTAGTTGACCTTTACCTTTCAACTATTGAATATATTGTACCTGGATATGGGTACTTATCACAATGACATTGATTAATAATGTTAATTGTTGTAACAATTGACTTACAATGTTGAAATTAAATTGTTTCAAATGTAATCAGTTGAATTAACAAGTTAACACAATTTATTATATACATTTACAACAATCAATGTTTAAATTGTTATTATCATTTGATTAAGGTTAAATAGGAAAAGGTCAAATCGTTTGTAACAATTTAGTTGCTTCTGCAATTAATTATTGTTAACAATTCATTTCAATTGTAAAATAAGACACAATTTATAATCCAAATGAATATGTATGATTTAAATTGTGAACAATTTAGTTGATTATATTAATACATTAATCATATTTCCGGAATTTAAATCGTAACAATAATTTAAACAGAATCAGATTCCTATATATATTTAATCAACATCTAAATCAATGTAACAACAATTAAATCCGTTGACTGTACATTAATTTGAATAGGAAACAAAGAGACGACAATTTATTGATTGTTACATTTAAATCAAATGTATGAAATTGAGGGAAAGTAAAAAAAAACTATTGAATTGATTTTAATGGTTAACAGGTAATCAAGTTAATGATTAACCAATTTAATAACCCAAATGAGTATCAATTGAATGATAATGATTACAATTAGAAAGATTTTCACACCACAAATGATAAGAATTGCGAATTACAATCAAATTAACCACAGAGAGGAAGAGAAATTAAGGAAAACAAGAAAATTAAGCCTGAAGAAATATAAGAAAAGGAAAAGAGAAAATTTTTTTTCGAATTAACAAAAAGTTCTAATAACGTTCTAACAATTTACTGTTGTTATGTTCAAATGTAATGATGATGATGATGATGATGATGAAGATAATGATGATAATTGCTGTGAAGAAGAGGAAAGTGAAGAGAAGAAGAGAAAAAATTAGAAAGATAATAGAAAAACAATTGCGAGAGTTAAATACGTTCAAATGTATTGGTTAATTGTGAAAGGAATCTAAGGTGCGGCCGAAGTATTCGTGCCAACAATTAAGAAAAAAAGTAACAATTTATTTTCTTTAAATCTAATTCAATCTATCGTTTGTTAGAATTATTAAAAAAAAAAATGACCATCATCATCTTCATCATGATGATGGGGAGGATTAGGTGACCAATGGTGATTTCTGAGCAAAATTATCAATCATGTTTAGCTAAGAGATGGTTTATCTTAACCATTATGTAAACTGATGATGATGATGATGATAATTTACTGAATAAGATGATACCATGAACAATAAGAAAAAGGGATTGGCACTTGTACGTGTTACACGAACGCACGAAGGGTAAACGATTGAGTATATTAAAGCTTCCGAGCGGAAACTAATTCTCACAGAGAAATTAACTAATCATAAACAAACTTTTCACACACAGATTTAAATCGTGATTAACGATTACTAAATAGTTTCATTTTCCAGCAATTAAATTAACCTTCAAATTTTGGTTTTTTCTTTAATTGTAACAATTAGTGAGACAAACAATTTATTTTCAATCGATAACTTTTTTACATTTGTTTCTATGATACTTTAAATTGTATTACTAAGATACATTATTATGATTGATTCATCATGATTGTTTATTGAACAATTTAACCTGTCAACAATTTATTTATCTGGTTAATCAACTGTTTCTTATTGTGAAACTATTAATATAAATTGATGATTGATTCCCAACAATCAATTTCATCAATACAATGTTAAGTTAGTTGTTGGCTGTTGGTCAACAAAATCATGAATTAACTTAATTGACTTGTAAGTTTTTAATATTATTACGTTAATCACGGACTATTAATAAGGTGAAACAATGAATGAATTTACCTACATCAACCTGAGATAATTAAATTAATTACACTTTAAGCATAACACAACAATTAGCGAATCAATTTAACTTTGTTTCATTAAAAAAAAAATAATTTTCTCAATCAAGTTTTCTGAAAATCATTGAAAAGTTTACAAAACAGAAAACAAAAACTGACCAACAACTTGAATGATGATCATCAATTTTAAATAATCAGTAATGATTAAATTAAATGAATCATTTTCCATGTACAATATACAAATGATTAACTAGTCACTGAGCTGATTAGCATAATCATGGTTAATAATCAAGATGATTATCTCTCATTGAACATGAATCGTATCCAACGGAGTCCAAGGCGTGTTTCAGAATCAATTGGAATCCCAATGTTACCATTAAATTTCAAGTGAATTAATTTAATCTCAATTGATCTTCCCTCTCCCATCCACCCACCCACCTTGATAGTGGTCAACTAGAAAAGTCATCGTAGTGGAAAACAAAATATACCATCTACCTGACCACTAATCAATCAATAAAAAACTAATCTAATCTCAAAATGATCTAAATGAAAACAAGATCAACAACAACAACAAAGTATTCATGTTAACATGGCTTCTTGTCATTAAAACACCTTAAACACCGGTGGTGGGATTAACCAGCACCACCACCGCCGCCACCACATGAATCTATCATGATTATTATTAATCAGCATTAATCAATAAACCAAATTTAAACCAATGGATAATAATGATCATCAACAAGTGACCACAGCCCAGAATCAGAAATTATCATCAAGAAAAACTTTTTTTTTTTAATCTCTCGCATGTAAATCAAAAGATTAACGGACTAATCTGTTAGCTTAATCTTATTTAGATTGTGATTGATTGTCAGTTTCTTACCGTGGTGTCCCGTTGAGTAGACGGGAGCGACATTGATGATTAACTTGATGATAATGATGATGATATGGTTGATAAACACCATGAAATGATAATAAGTTACACTAATCAAAAGTAAATTCAAGTTAAATCACTTTGGCCAATCAACATCATCAATCCAATTAAAAAAGATGAACACAAACCATGAATATATTACAATTCAAATGAATTACATGATAAAATTAGATTCATTTTCAGTTTGTATTTAGTTTATTTGCTTTATTCAACTATTAACAATTAACTTAATCAATTGACCTTAATTTCAAATTGTTTTTTGTTTGTTGTTGTCAATTCAATTTTGATGATTCTGACAAATATGAAAACTTTTCAATATTAACAAAAAGTTTGCTGTTAATTGCTGCTGATTTGTTAATTGTTTCCGTAATCTGATTCAGGGTATCACACTTATCTGAATGCTTAACTAATCATCTTGACATTAAACCCTTAGGGTAAAATTACATAGGGATATATAAGATTAACGAGATATTAACAATTTACCTGGAAAAATAAACTAACATAATTACTGGTATTAGTTACATAATGATACCTGTTCATTGATCCTATTACATTATATTGATAGAAAATGATTAAAAGTAAACTTTTACCCTCTATCATTAACTATTTTTGACAACATAGGTAACAATCAACAAGCAAACAATTTAATCATCCAATTAATTGCAGCCTATGATGAAAATTTTAATCAATAATGAAAACATTGATTGTGGTGGTTGGTCAGTATTTCCAATCCTGGGGTTTAATGGTCAACCGATCAAGGGAACAATATTTTCACGCTTTTACCTTGTTTCTTTTTCATATAATAATTACAACTCTTGATTGTTGATTGATTAAAAAACTTGAGAGAAAATAAAAATTAAACAATCTAAGAGCAACAATCAAGAAGAATCAACAATTTAACAACAATTTAAATCCAGTGGGAGGATAAAGTTGATACTTTAGGATTGGAAATCAAATGATTTTCTTAACAAAATGGTTACAATGTTTATATGGAATATGAAAGGAAAGAGTTAATTAAAGAGGTTTACCTGTCGGTGTAAAAAGAAAGATAAAATGAAAGAGAAGATGGAAAAATCATCATCATCATCATCATCATTATCTTCCATCATCTTCTCATCCCTTGTTATTGCTTCTCATTTCTGGTCAATCTTCAACAACGGTAAGTAATTTTTATTGTCTCTCTCTCTCTCTCGTAAGGGATAACCAGTGGCCAGTGGGAACTGATAATGATGATGATGATGATGAACACTTTCCCTCTACCTGTGCTTACCTGTGGATGTTGTTGGTTGTAAACAAGAAAACATGGTTTCCTTGTCAAAGTTGATTCCATAATTGCTGGTTGAAGAGAAGAAGCTAAAAAAGTAATAGAAGAGAAAAAAAAAGTTCGACTTTTTTTTCCATTGGTTCACCTTCGTTTACCTTTACATACACACTCTTTTACCTGTGGAGGATTAAGTATTTATGAGCCTTTGCCTTCAAGGGTTAAGGTCATTTTCTGTTTCTAAACGGGCGGGAAGGAAAAGGTAACTCGAGGTGGGTTAGGTTACTACTTTTACTTTTACTTTTGTTTTCTTGTTTCGTCCTTCGGTCTCTATGGAGCCTAAACCATGATAATTCATGATTAATTGTGATAATTATGTACAATTAACTTGTTCAAATGTTCATTGATTTATGAATTTAATTTTGCATATGAATCCCTTTTCTTTTACCTGTTAATTCAGTTTGATTACATGTATTACACTGATTCCAATGGCTGATTATTAACAGGAACTGGATTAGTGATATTGATCATCACTAATTATGAGGTTTTTGGTTCATTATTATTAATCATTGTGGTTAAACAATATAATACTCTCTCTCTCTCTCTCTCTCTCTCACTCACTCAGGTAGGTTAACAATTGATTTTAATTGTTGTAAAAATATTTCTAAATGTTTCTCTTGATTCATTAACTAAATTAACATAATTTTTCAATGGGAAATGAAACCAATTTACCAATGTAATCTACTTTGTATGATGATAACTAGGAGTGGTCAGTAGTTGATTCTGATTTCAGGATAAATGATGATGATTCAGAAGACAATCTTGATATATTATCATGATGATTAGAGGGAAGAAAGACAATTATTACTCAATGAAAGAGAAAGATAAGTTACATGGGAAGAGAGAGAGAGAGATGAAAAAATAAAGAGGGTGGAAAGAAAAAGAATAAGAAAAAAAGTAATAATAATAATCAAGGTAAAAGATGATGATGATAATGATAATGAAGAGAAATTCAAAGTAACTATCATGGTGAGGGCGAAAATTATGATGAACATGATGATGATGATGATCCATCTTCTCAACATCCTTCTCACTAATTTACCTGTAAGATGATGAACCAACTCCCTTTCAAGTTTTCCATGAGCTTCTTACTTTTCATCATTAGCATTTCAGCCTCCCCCGCTTTCAACTTCTTCAGTAGATGAAAATGAAACCCACCTCCACCTCCTCCCTCTCTAAGAAACTGACCTTGGACTGACCACTTACCTGCTAAGGAGAGTTACTATTTCTTTTTTGCTTCTTTTTATCATCATCTTCATCTTTATCTTCATCTTCTTCTTCATCAGCATTTAGTACTAACATTTAGTTACTAGTTTTCTTGTCTTGTAACAAGAGGGGAAAAAACAGGGAAGCGAGGGTGGGGTGGGTTCTTGTGATGAAGATGATGAATTCTGTTTATCTTCATACTCGACACCAACAGTGACGATGATGAAATTAGTGAGATCTCAGAGCAACAGGTAATTTGGAATTGGAAGAGAAAAATTTTTCTCAGTGAAAACTTTTTTCGCTTTCACAGGAAACAGTAAACAGATAAAATGGCGACTACTGATCAACATGATTAACTATTAATACCACCAAACCTTAAAAAAAACTCCACCGGGTATTCAATATGAATACACCAACAACAACAACTCTAGTTAATTATCATTGAAAGTACATCATCAGAGTTACTCAATTGAAGGCTAATTTTTTTCAGCTTCCTGATCAGTTTTATTGCATCAGGTAAACAAGTAAACCCGGTGGGTGGGTTGGGGTGGCCGGTTAACCAGTGGTCAGATATTTCAAGGAAATCCGGCTCAACAAGACCCCCACCACTGCCCACTCCCACTGCCCTTTACATTGACCACTACAGATGAACAGCAATCATTTAATCATCATGGGAAGAGGTAAAAATTGTTTCTTACTCAAATCAAATTAAATGCTGTTAATTTGATTATCAGAGAAAAAAAATTTCCAACAATTTAAAACAAAACTTTACTCTTTACATAAATTCCCAATCAAATACAAAATCAATTGATTAGTTAATTGCTGATTTAGTTGAATCATTTGAACCTCTAAACAGTTTCAAATGCAACACTTGATTGTAATAATAGTTGCATCTTAATTGTAATAATATCAATTTATATTGTAACTATTAAACTGCAATTTCAAAAGCATCATTTAGGTTAATTGTTGTGTGTGTGTGTATTTGATTGTTGTTATTAATTGTTTCAATCTTATGATAATGAAAAAAAAAGTTTTTCAAGTGTTGATCAGCAATTTAATTGATTATTATTACCTGATTTCCTTTTATTTTCCTGTTAATCATGATTAAATATATCATCTTGTTATTGATTGAAACGATGGTGATGATCAAGACAGAATCTTAATCCTAATCAAAGCTTTAGGTTTTTTTAATTGTGATTAAAACACTTACAAAGATTAAACTAAATCAAGTAAGTAACTAACACTTATAATGAAAATCTTAAACAATTATGTTTACCTGGTAAGAAAAATGAACCAACTACCTAGCAACAAACAAGGTAAAGTTAATCATCTTCAACAACTGATTACAATTAACTTTAACTACAAATGATCAGTGATAATTGACAGCCTCTCAAGTGTATAATCATAATCAAGAAAATGAAGAGAGAGAGAGAGAGACAATTTAATTAATCATTTTTATTTCAGATGAAGTGATCAGAATGAGAGAGAGCAAAGGAGATCCCGTTTACAATTAATTAATTTAATTAATGATTGGATAGCAACTTAAATTGGTTGAGATTTGACAAAGTGATGAAAGTGGGTGTGGTTGATGGTAGAGGATTAGGATTAGGATTATTAGGATAATCTTGGATATTGATTGGGGGGAAAAAACAAAATCGATTGATATTAAATTGGAAACGAGAGAGAAAAAAAAAATTCATAAAAAACAAAACAAACAAATAAAAGATTAAGATTCATGGTGATTGTTGGATTGATGATGATGATGATGTTTAATTGTTGATGATTGTTGTTAATTGTTAAAAGGGAATCAATTAACAACATCGATATCATCCTCTTCACCTTCACTCTTCATTTCCGTTATCTCCATGGGTTCAATTTTACAGGGGGGTGACAAGTTGCCCGATAACTTATTATTAGATGATGATAAAGGTGATAGAGATAAAGATGATGATGAGGATGAGGATGAAGAGGATGATGATAATGAAGTATCTCGGATGGTTACATGTTGTACGTTGATTTTTACATCTAATTTAACTTCTTGATTGTGATGATGATTGTGAAGATGAAGATGATGTTCACCGTTGTTGTTGTTGTTGTTGTTGTTGTGGTTGTTTGTATTTGGGCCGTTTGACCCACCGGACATTGAATCTTGAAAAGAGCTACTTGAATCATTGTTATCAGAATTGATCTGAGATTCTGGTAATCCAAGGGTATGGGTCAAGGTGTGACGGCGAAGGTCACAATTACGACGGAACTCTTTACCGCAATCGGTACAGTTATAAGGTTTAATGTCCGTGTGGGTCAGTAGGTGGGTCTTCAAGTTACTTCGTTGGTTGAAACTTTTACCACAAGTATTACATTTGTGGGGCGAATCCTCCATGTGGAGGATTTTGTGAACGGCCAATGTCCGATTCTGGCAAAAACCTTTACCACACTCATTACATTTGAATGGTTTTTCCTTTGAATGAATATATCTAATCAAGAAAAAGAAACAATCAACAAATTAATGATTAGTTGATCATCACAAGATTAACATAAACTGAAAGAGAGATTGTTAGAACTTTTCTCTCGAACATGTAAAACAAATCGATCATGTCAATCCAACAATTTCTCCCCAATTTTTCAAGCACTCAGATCAAACTTTCATCCAAACAATCAACTAATCTTCATCTTAATCTCCATTGATCATCTCTAATCTCTCTCCATCCTCTTCAACTCCCCCTTCTTTTCATGTAATAATGTGTTTGTTTCACGGATAATCGCTACTTTTCTCACTTGATTATGTCTCTTATCAGTTGATTGATTGTGATTAACTATAAAAAACTACTTCTGGAAATGAAGATAATCATTGAGAGAGACAATTGATAATAATAATGATGAGCATGATGATGATGCTGGTGAGATGTTGAGATGAAGAATCAAAGTCTGAATAATATGATTACAATGATATTCGTGATAATTAATAACCTGAGAATTAGTTTACCGTTTTTCAAGTGGATTTAAGTTAATCAACGATTCTTGAGATGATCATTTTGAAATGCAAAACCTCAGCAATTAACAATCATGATTAGAGCAACAAATATAATAATATTTATCACACTTATCTTAAGATGATTGGTTGTTGTTGTTGTTAAGTTACCCAAAGGAAAAAAAAGTTTCTCGTTCTGATTTTTACCTTCCCTTAATTGTTTACATTTAATTGTGATCCAAGTTGATTAGGTTGGACATTATTTGTAACAATTAACCATTCACTATGTAAATAATGATTGTGGTACAAGCAAAAAAAGTGGGTGGTTAATTGTGCCAATATAATCAATCGTAAAGGTAACACTGTTTGTTTATGATATTTAGGGTGCCGATGATCAAAGTTATCAACTAATTGTTAACAATAATAAACTTGATTGTTGCTCTCTATGTTTTTTTAGTTACTTGATTACCACTCAGCTTTTTGAGTAACATGACAATTAACTTATTTTTTTTTGCCTCGCAATTAAGAAACCGTCATAACCAAGTTGTGTAAACAGTTAATAATAATATTGTCAACATAATACAAAATTGATTATCATTGGAATTAGTTGATTGTAATTGTAACTGATTGTTGATTATATCGGAATCTTGGCCATCTAATTTGATTTGATTGTCATTAAATATATACTTGTATATGGGAAACAATCAATGATATTATTAACTTTAACTGTATTGTAAAATCTGATAATCAAACAAATAATATTGTTATTAGTTAATTCAGTTTGTATTGTAAATGATGATCATCATTTCTGATTGTTATGATTTAACAATATAATTAATATATTGCAACACGGAAATATCAACATCAAAGGTATCATTATGATGATACTAGGAGACGGTGATATATTTAATTGTTACTGATTACACCTTTTAACAATTTAAGTTAATCAACAAGAATCAATTGAAAATCTTGTTAATTGAAACGTCAATTGAAATATTACAACAAAAAAATAATGTTCAATGATTAATTTCATTGAATCGGATAATCAAACAATTTAAATTGTGTCCTTGTTATATTATAATGATGATTAGTGACAATTGAAAAATGTTAATTGTTGTCACAATTTGTATATAAACAATTTAATTTACTATCTAATGACCGTTTTTTGTTTAATGTTTTCATTTTTTTCACTGATTAACTTGATAAATTGCTCGAGGCGGATTAAATTGCTGACGTTTAATTGTAATAACAATAATGAACATAATCATGATTAGGTTTGGCTTTGATTCATTTGTTAATCAACAACAATTAACTGGAAAAAAAATTTATGGAAAACCAGTAATTCTTATGATGGTAATTGTGATACAGGTAAAGTACAGGAGGATAGGGTGATGATGCCTTGAGGCTATGAGGGAGGAGGAGATGATTGTGATGATGATTAAGAAGGGAAAAGTTAATTGTTAGGAAAAAAAAAGAAAAAATAATTTAAAGGAAATGTTAACATTTCGTCAGGAAAATTAAAGTTATCAAGTGAGTTCGTTATTAGCTTGATGATCGTTATGATCGTTAACGATTTCAAATATTAATTGTCAACAATTATGCGAAAAAAAAATTCAATGTTAATTCAATCAACTAAATGATTACGATTTGATTAAAAACTTTAATCATATTGTTTTCCTCAACTAAATACAATTGTGATTGTATTTTCAACCTTCCCGTTGGCAATTGATTGTTGCTGTTGATTTATTTGGTTAATGGAATCGTTAACAATTTAGTTTTCACAGTTACATGTTTTATTTTTTACACTTTGACAAAAAGGTAACAATTTGAAATTGTTATCTGATTGATTGTTGTTTAAGAAAAAGGTTACAAAGTTAATTGTTAACCATCAAATCAACAAAAATCAATATACTTATCACTCTAGTTGAAATCTAGTTTAAAGGGGAAATTGATTGTTACTCTTGATAAGATAGCAATTTGTAAACTTTATCATGATTAACAATCAAAAAAAAAAAATGTATTGATAGAAACGGAAACTTTTTTTTCAACCGAGAAAAGTTAATTGTGTTTACTAAAATTGATTACACTTGGAAAATCAAACAACGATCAACAATTAAAAGTCAAAGTGGGTGGTTGTGGGAGGTGTAATTGTGAGTAAATTGCTCTCAATGATTGATCAACAATCAACTAATCAACCATAATTAACATTGACTTTACTTTTGTAACAATCAATTTCCAATCACAATCATATGATTAACACTCATAAACTTTTGATTTAGTTTGAGATTTTCATCATTCTAACATTGATAGTAAAGGTGTTAGATTAATTGTAATTGTTAAGGGCGTTAATTGTGAGGACAATTAATTAAATTTCTAACACTTTAACTCAACTCAATTTCAAACAATCTTCATATAGATTAACATGAATTTCATCATTCATTCAATTCCTATAAAAAAAAAGTTCATCATTCTTATAGGTGTTGGTCAGTTGATGACCACTTGGAACCTTAATTCATGTCAATATGATTAACCTATAATTTAGTTAACAATTTAATTTGATTGTGTTGAAAAGGAAAAATTGAATTGCAAGTAGGTAGTTAATTACTACCAGTGATTAACTAATTGTCTATCGATTAACACCTCGTGTACATTGTTATCAATATCTAACAGAAAACAAAGTTAATTGTTGATTTGATTTGATTTGAGTTAATTTTTCTTTGTAGTTTCTCACCCTAACAGCTATTAATTAACACCAACTATCACAATTAAATTGATTACAATAAATTAGAAATTTAATCAACACACTAATCACAATGATCGGTGTTAAAACAATCGGTGTTATTAATAAAATCAAATGATTTTCTTGCTGTTTTTACTTAATCATTTACAAATCGAGGGCAACAATTAACCAGTAAATGAAAATCAAATCTTTTCATCAACAATTAACTAATCACAATCAATGTTACTTAAATTGTACTAATGTTTAACCAATTGTAATAAGTAAACAATTGATAATAATGAAAAAGTTGATCTTGTAATTTTAACTCAGTAAAAATGATCAATTTAAATTTGATTGAAAATCATCATCACGTTTAAATTGAATTATTATTATTTGGAAATTGATTTGATAGATTTAAATTGTTGTCTAATTGTTGTTGTTTGCTGTTTATTACCTCAAGCTAAGAGTAGGAGTCGTAGGTGAAGGTACATCCGTTTGAAGAAACTAATTTAATGTTAATTTCTAATGGTTTACTACAATGGGCGTGAAAATCACGATCAAGGTGGGTTACAGTATAGACGATGAATTAACAGGGTAAATCATCATCATCATCATCAGACAGGTAAATGAAATCAAGGTGGGTCTCTTACTTTTCTCTCTTTCTTTTCTTTCAGCTTAATTTTCACAAAGGTAAATATAAAAGTGTCAGAAATTCACATTCAATTTTAAGCTAATATCTTTTCTTTGTGGGTTTTTTGTTGTTGTATCTCACCTTGATTCCTACGTTAATTTGATTTGATTGTTTGTACAAGGAAGCGGATTTAGGATTGGAAATTAGTTGGATTGCAATTAACCGGATTAAGTTGTAATTCGATTTTGTTTTTGTTTTTAGTTCTTTTGATTGATTGACTTGATTGAAAATTAGGCTTACCTGTGATCTCTTAGATGATCTTGTCTTCGGAACTTTTTATCGCAAATGTTACATTTGTAAGGTCGCTCATCGGTGTGAGTCCGCTCGTGGATAAGTAAATTGTATGATTTTGTGAAATGTCGTTTACAGTATTTACAGATAAATTGTTTCTTTGGCCTTGAATGAGAGGCCCGTTGATTAGGTTGATTTGGACGTAAATTTGACCCTTTTAACCAACCGTTGACCGCAAGAGATGTTGGATTGATTAGATGAGGTGATAATGATGCTGGACTTGAGATACGATGATGAGGTGATGACAGAAAAGGAGAAACAGCTGATAAAGATGACAACGAGATTGTATTGTTATTATTATTGTTGTTGTTGTTGTTATTGGGAGGTGATGATGGTGAAGATGAGGAAGATGAATTGAGTAATCGACGAGCTGAAAGAAGACCAAGATTAGTTGATTTAATTACTTCTTTAGATGAACGATTCTCTTCAATTATCGATTGGGCAAGTCGACTGTAATCTAATCGATGTGAGTGTCCATCTTTTTCCTGTTTTATCATTTGACCACAGGAAGTTAATGGTAACGGTGGTGATGAAGGTGAAAATGATGAAGAAGAGGAAGAAGATGATGAGGATGATGAAGATGATGATCGAGGTGAAGGTAAAGATGAAGATAATGTCGAAGCATTGTAAAAGGAACAATAGAAACAGGAGCACTTGGATGGATAATAAATCTTCAGCAGGTCAGGCCATTGAATCGATTGCGATTGTAAGGATTTCATGACGAGTAGCGCACATAAGCTCATATCTCACACAGAAAAATATATTTATGAATCAAGATGATGATGATGATGGAGAAATTAGTAAACAAGATAATCTGATGATGATTAGGTTGATTAAGGAAGAGGAAAAAAATTTCTTACTGAACAGAAGTTGTGAAGAAAAGTAAATGTTGATGTGTTAAAGTTTTTTCTTCAGTGAGTGTGAGTGAGTGAGTCGACGGGATGAGTGGTAACTGTTGTGGTTCATCATCATCATCATCATCATAATCATCTTGTTGTTATCTTCCCTCAAGAGGATGGGCCCAAACTTGCAAAATACAAAGGTAGCAAGTGGAAGGCGGTTACAGTGTATGCGTAGAAGCTGAAACACTAAACAGAAAATACGGTAAACGCTGAAGAAGCAAACACCAGGTAAGAGAAAGAGAAAAGAAAGAGAGAAAAAAAAATGAACAAGATGAGAAGATGAAGACAACTGAATTTCCATCATAATGAATTTCATGATAATCACAATTCAGAATTTGGTTCACTGTTTTGAAGCTTTTTTCTTCTCAGCCGAAAACTTTTTCTTTTCTAATAAACTTTTCTTTCGACTTTTTGATTTTATTCTTTCCTATTTCTTTACTTGGACTTTTATAATAATCGATGAAAGTTTAGAGTTTAAAGTTTCGATAAATATAAATTACTTACGATCAATTTGCAATCGAATCTCAATTAGTCTATATTGTAGTTTTATCGATTTTATATTCGCTCGGTTGTCGAAAAGTTCATCTATCGGGATGAGTTTAGTTCGAACAATTTTTGTTTAGATTTGTAAAAGATTCAGAGCTTAAGGAAATCAATCCCATGTAAATAGAGATATTACTTGGGATTAAGAAGATTAATAACTTTGAAAGATTAACTGATTCCATGAGAAAATCAGAAATTTTCCCAAAAGACGAAAAAGTTTCGAGGCCATTTTTTTGATCTTCTTGATACTAATCTCCTGTTGAAAGATCTCAAAACTGATACAAACTTTAATCAGCTTCTGATGTTTAAAAAAATAGACATTTAATTGTAAAATCTAAACAAATTAGTAAATTGATCAATCGAAAATAGAAAATGGAAAATGTTAGAAAACTTTTCTCAAGTTAACCTTTCACCGTTCGCTCTATTCTTCCACTAGATGGAGCTTGATTTTTATCGAACTTGTTTTAAGATTAACAGCATTTTATTATAATTAGAACTTTTTCTCTTTCGATGCTTCTTTTACCTTTCTCTTTCTTTTCGCCTTCTGCTTCTACAGGATGCTACAGTGAGGGTCGGTAGCGAGTAACTCGGATTGGCTCCCGGTTACTATTCTGTTGCCTGAACCCGCCTCAAGAGCCAAACCCTATTGGAAGCTTGAACCAGAAAAGGCTCCACCTTTTTTAATTCAACTCACAGGTAAGTAGTTAAGTTGATTATCATCATCATCATCATTTGTATATATTGTCAAGCTCAATATTTTTATTGATCCAAAGTTTCATCATCAATTCATTGTTATCATGATCATTAAATGCAAGGACATTTAACTCATTGTTTAAATGTATTTTCACTTTGAATCTATATTGTGATATAATAATGATCATTTTCAATTAGAAACTTAATTGTTACAAACTTTTTATTAGCTTAAATATTGAACATTTCATATATAACAATTAGTGAATCATTTTCTTTCAGGTAAATCTTTTTGTCTTTCACCTTAAGTATTAACATGACAACTTCAACCTTTGTAATGATCTTGCATTTGTAACAATCAAATTGTTTGAGTTTAAGTTTCGATTGAACAAAAATTGATTTCAATCAAAACTGATTGTTGATCAATTAAATTCATTTAAACTCATATACATTTGATATTAGTAGAGGAAAAAGTTGTCAAGAGCTGCAAAGGTTGACAATTAAGACGACGAAACAATTACCAGTAAGCAGATCGAATGGAGATCAATTTGGACAATTAAGGATTCTAGTTGATTGTTGAAACAATTAGAGGTTTAATTTGAACAATTAAAGCAGATGTTGATATAATATTGCGAGAAAAATGTTAAAGAGAACAGAAAATAAAAGGTAAACAATGAATTCGATGGCGAAAAGAAGAAAACTTGAGAAATCTACAATTGTATAAGAAGAAGATGAAAAAGAAGATAGAAAAAAAGATGAGGATGAAAAAAGAAAGAGAAAAAGAAAGAGATTGAAGGTTAATGGCAATGGTGTTCACTAAATGCGTGTTGGAGTGAGAGGAGTGGCACTTATATATCTTTTCATTCATAAAAAACGTTCTTGTCTTTTTTCAATGAGGGAGTATGAAGAATCATCATCATCATTATACTCCCTCTCTCTCATCATCATCATCATCATCATTTGATATTACCAGTATTGATATAACGTGATAAATGGACGTGATTCCTGGTTGAAAATCGTGATTGAATACACCTTAAAAAAAAGCATTAATACTTTACGATCCCAACCCTAAAAAAAGCATTCAAGCCAACAAGAAGATGGCAGAAGACAGAGTGAGAGAGAGAGAAAGATGAAGATGAAGATGATGAGAAAGACCAATGATTTCTGGCATCTGAAGGTGCTGCAATCAAAATGCATAATTGCGATATACTTTCTATTCATCATCCTGATGATGATCATCATCTACCCTGAATGCGCTCCTTGTCACGATGTAACATTCGCATATCCAGAAGACCTCAATTATCATTTTATCCGTAATTAAATCGAAGCTGTTTGTTCACCATCTTCCCTCAACTCGATTTTCATCACAAATCATAATTTTCCATTCTCCATCCCTTTCCTTATCATCCTCCATCATCTTCTTCATCTTTTCCATCTTCTTCTTTCAATCCTCCTCCTTCTACTTCGCCATCATCATGAACCTATTCCAACTGAATCTTCACCTCCCTCACTTCCAGTTTTCCAGGTAAAATGAATTGAACATGAAAAACATGTAACATGTTAAGTCTGTTGTGTGAACCCATTTACTTTTGTATCTTTAAACAATACACAAGAGTTGTTGTTGTTTTTGCTTCTTGATGATGAGATGTTGAGATGATGTTGTTGTTGTTGTTGTTGTTGGCGTCATCAGTATCATCATCTTCGGGAGGAGATAATATTTTCCACCTCATCTTTGATTCATTTTCTTTGGAGTAGTTTTAATTTAGATAATAGTTACAGGTAACACAAAAAGAAAGCCTGAAACCTTCAACATGCAATTTGAACAATGAATTTTGTCCCTGATTGTTGAGGTAGAATTTTATTTTTACCTGTAAAAGAAAAAGCAAAATGGTGATAATGCATAATACATATTTCATCCTCAATCTGCAAATGGATACACCTTTTATCATCATCTTATCATCATCATTTATCTTTCTTTCTTCTTTCTCATCTTCCTCATTTTTACCTTTTATCCTCCTTCATCTTTTAATCATTATTACACTGATATGCTCATATTATAATTGCAATTGCTTCTTGATGACGATGATGATGATGATGAGCATGATGTTTGGTAGTTTATAACAGTAACTGATGCTTCTGATGATGAAAATGCTTCTTCATCATCATCATTGGGATTCTGCTCCTAAAACAATATGAAAAAGGAAACAAATTGCTCGTGAAAATCCAATCTAATGCCGATGGTTGGATAATATTGACAGAGGAAAACAAAAAGTTTCGCTTAACTGTTACCTCGGGTGTTTCCTTGATTGTTGATTAACTGATGATCATCCTTATCTTTGCAATCGGTCAACAAATCAGCTGACCAAATAGAAGAAGCAAATTGAGTAAAAGGCACGATGATAATTTAGAAAAGTCTAATCATCATCATCATCATCATCATTAAATTAGTTCCATAGGAAGAGAAACAAAACTGAAGCTCGAACTTTAAAAAAACCATAAATCGACGGAAATCACGCTTTCGAATGGTAAACTTGATGATAAACTTTATCTTCCATTTGTTGTTGATCATCTTTTTACTGTCAAAACCTAGTAACCTAACAACCGACACGAGTTAACGTGTTGTAACAACGCGCGTGCACCTAATATGCAATGTAATCATTTCCACCAATGTGTCCGCCGGGTACAAAATCATATCACCTTTTGTTTTATGATTAAGGCCAATTTCTTGATTAACTTGATTACACATCTGCTTACAACCGTTGAGTGTATTATATGATTAGATTGATTATCGTTTCTCTTTCGCCGATATTATTACTGTGTTTATGGTCACAGTTAAAGGCCAAGACACGATTTATTTATGATCTAAGGTCAATATCGTTACATCTGAATGGTTACCTTTCACTTACCATGAGCGCTTCATTACCGGTCAACAACAATCACCACCTTGACAGTTAGTGTGAAGAAAAAAAATCAAAACTAATTGTAATATATATAAATTACATTCATAATAGCGGGTGCTCATTGGTATCAATGATTTAAAGTGACCAATCAATTGACCACCATCGTTGAAAATGGTTCATTTCAATGGACAAAAAGTATCGAGACCATTGAGAGTTTCAATTGATTGCATAAAGATCCAGTTATAAGGTCTAACTGTGCATTCAGAAACAACTTCCTCCCACCTCCGCCTCCTCATCCTCTACTTTATCACCATCTTCATCTTCATCTTCATCTTCATCTTCATCATTATCTTCACAGTTTTTTGTTATTATCCTTTTGTGAGTGTGTGTGTCTGTTGATTTCATTGGGTTTGTTGAGTCCATTGTGTTTACTATTGTGTCCGAAAAGTTTTTTCAAGCTCCACACCCAATCCTAAAGGTAAAAAGGTAAAATAAAGCAATCAAATTGTTTGACCACCCAATATAAACATACAATAAAAAGGAGAGCACAATTTACCTTTAAAATTAATCACTTAAACACCTCACTTTATCATCTTCATCATCTTTTCATCCCTAACTTTACATTCAAATGTCTCCAGGTAAACACACAATTGAGTTTACCTTTTCACCTTTAAATTGTATTGATTATATCATTTACTTTTGTCACATCAATGTGAATATATTACATATGAAGATGATGATAATGATGATGATACAAAAGATATTATCTTCCAGGAAATTCAAATCAATTGATTGTTACATTGATTGTATCTTCACTTGGATTTTATTATTGAGTTGATTAGTGATCAATAGACACTGAAAACATTGTCTATATAAGTTATCGGTAACAATTAGTTGATTGTTAACTCAAATGATGAAAAAATTTCAAT